TGTGGAAAATTATATTTTTTTATTTAAGGACTTTATTAATTGACATTCATTTTGTATAAAAATTCAGTTGTAACAAATAGTTTGGACTTCAGTACAGCCTTTTGACCTTTTCAGGTATAGATATTCACAATTGGCAGATTTATAGTAAGGTGAATAAAAGCCTGACCCAATGACCATTTAAAATCAAGACATTTATAAATATAAGGCCATATTGCATTTGCCTGCCTGCTTCTACAGTGCATTGTGTATAAAATGCCCAATAAATGTTTGAACGAAAGAGTAAAGGGAAGTATGAGTAAACAAATGGGAAATACTAACTTCTGGCCCAGGAGTCATCTAAACTAAGTATTAATTGGAAGAACTAATTTTATTTCTATAAAACTAAAAAAGGGAAAATGTTGACCCACACTTCATTTCATATCAGATGGTATGAAAAAAATGGTAAAAGAATGGAGGGGATATTCTCTCTTCTAATAACATACTTAAACTGCTAATGAGAACTTTGCAGGACATTTTTAAATAATTTAATTTTCAGAAGACTGAGAGGATGATGCCAAAAATACCAAGAACCTTATTTTTTTTTTTTAATGTAATTCAAAGTTTGTCAGAAATAGATGTCAGGTCTATTTTTACCTGGATTATTAATCTCCTTTGCTTTAATGGAGACAGATCTTTTGAAATATTTTCTCATTGGATATTTATGAACAGGATACTAGAGAAATTACTGTTTGTTCTCCTCTTTCAGGAATAACTTTAAGTGGCTCAGAGTCCATTTGTTGGAGAAAGACACTTAGTGTTATGAAGGCACCAAAGAAACACATTTAATAAAAACGTTTGTTATTCTGCCTAATGGTGTAAAGCATTTCACCTAAAATTTATAATCATAGGTCCACCGTAAGTGCTACCTGGATATTAGGGACCTCTTGTGCTGCTTAAATGCCAGTTGCGTCTGTAACAGTGCCTGTTAGGTTAGCACTGATGCTCAGAATTCATACTGAGAAAAGCACATCTGTAGGAACTGGTGCGTCCTGGTGTTCTTGGCAGGCTTTGGACTGTCTTTAATCTCCTCTGACTTGTTCATCTTCTTTAAGGCCATCCATAAAGATGCACTGAGTATCCTTTTCAACCTTTGGGTAGGATTTGCATCAGTAGTCATAAACCTGCTCTCCGGACAAAGACACCCTTTCCTTTGAAGTAATTGCTCAGGCTTTTCAAAGCAGTCCAAGAAGTCTATCCTCTTTCTCTTTTTATTTTTCTCTAAGAAGGGTTTGAAGTGTAGCCCCTTAAACTAGCAGCAAGATAAATTTTTCTCTCAGCTTTATTGAAAGCCATGACAATTTTTCAAGCAGTAAGACTTTAAAAGGTTCTTAAGGGAATCTGTTCTGCTTTATGATCTAGCTTTTGGTAGATCCTCCTATCTCAGAAAGCGAAAGTTGAGACTTTGTGTGTGCATGAACTACTACAAATTTTTATCAAAGAATTAGCCTGATATTTTTCAGGAGACATTTTTTTCCTTCTTTTTATTCGGTTTAGAGACATCAGTGAGAGATACCGATCGTTTTGGGGTATTTGAAAAAGTAACATATGGCCGAGTATTGTCTTATTTGAGCTCATTTCCCTCCCTAGGTATAAACTCTGTGGGCTGGTAAGAGGTTGGGAAGGACAGATTTCGGTGAGTGGTACAATGACAAGGAGTTATGTGGCTTCTAGATTTTGTTTCTAGGCTTTCCAAATAGAAAGACACAAATCTGGAGGGGTTTTGTCTCTCTCCTTTCAGCAGGATGTTATTGCTTGTGCTCAGGATCCAGGGTGATGTGTACAGTGTAACATCAGAGAGGTAAATAGATTCTGTAAACCACACAGAAATGTATTCTGCCTCTGATTATCCCCTCTACCCTATTAATTTCATCTCAAGTGGTTCCCAAAATATCTGTTGAATTTAAACAGTTTAGACCTGTTGGATTTAAGTCCCATAGCGTATCATTCTATTTGCTATAGTGAAATTTTAAGATTTTAAACATTTGGTTTATTAGAACTAGTCAAAACCCATCAGCTATTATTTTGAACAGATACTTGATGAGCAACTCTAAAGAACACTTGATCTGCACAGCAGATAATAAAGAGAGCACACGGTTTGGTCTTTAAGCAAGACTAAAAATAGCTTTTCTTGAAGGAATTTATCCCTCTCCTTATATTGTTTGTGAATTTTTAGAGGCCATTCACGTGCATTCCTAAAGGGCGGGAAGTTATGTAGCTCAGTCTTTTACTGTGTTAGTGAAGTGTTTGTGAAGCCAGTTACCTGAAAAGATTCCAGCGATCATGTCTACCCTTATGCTTTTAATTTGTTGTTTTTCTCTTCCTTTCCTCTTCTTCCCCCCATACCTCCCCCTGTATTTCCTGAACTGTCTAACTTGCTTCCTGGGTTAGAGAACATTTTATTTAGAGATCACGTTCTAGGAAAAGAAAAATCTTTTCAGTTTTGAAATTATGCGTCTGTGTGTGTGTGTGTGTGTGTGTGTGCGCGCGCGCGTGTTTGTGCGCTCATTTGTGGAGGTGGAAATGATTGGTACAGTATGAATTATTGGAAACTGATATTTTGGAAGTAAAGCATACTTATAAAAATCTTAATTATGAGTTTGCAAAAAAGGATGCTTTTACATCTTAACCCACTTCATGGGGCTAATTGTGAGGCTTCCTAAACTCTACCTTTATAGTCATAGAAAATTCACAGTATTTCAACTCATTTACACTAAAGAAAGAAGTGCAATTGACGGCAATCTCACTGCCTTCCCACGTTCCTTAGAAAATATTCTTAGATCCAGAAAACAAAATGTTAGCACTGACATGCTCAGGTGGCGGAGTCCCTTGGGCGCCCACTCCCCACCTGCCCTTGGTGTCCTCGGGCTAACACCTGGGGGTTTTCAGTTGCCATCAATGTTCCCTCCAGCCTCCCCTCTTCACTGGAGAACTCCGAGAGGGTTCTAGTTGAAACAGCTCTTACCCCTCCGTAAAGGGTAATTATGAAAACATAAAAGGAACAATCACGCTGAAAATGTGTTCCTTACATCTGAATGATTTTAATTCTTGATTTTAAAAACTGTTGCCAATAGATACAATTAGGCATTAATTTCAATTGGGCAGTATTTTTGTGGACTGTAGAGCATTTTGGGAAAAGGGGAAATTATGAATCTGGGCTAATGTATCTGTAACTTTTTTAAACATTTATTTCTGATTTTTGTGGCAGGACTTATCTCAAACAGAAATTACATTATTTGCTTCTTTTCTTTAAAAATTTCCAAAATGTGTGTGTTTTTTAAGGAATTGTAGTTGATCTTGTAACAAATTCTTTTTGGTTTAGAAAATGTCAAGTGAACTTTGTAATTAAGGTGGGATTCCCTCCACAAAGAGGTTTCTAAACTTTGAATCAGATGAAGCCAAGCCCCTTTCCACTTATCCCCTTGCCTTTTAATGTCATTTGAGGCCTCCTTCTGTCACTGGACACAAAGGCCTGTTCCAGTGGCTGCAGCATGTGGCACTGTGCATGTAGTACAAGGTTTGATATGATGCACATTTACTTTAATCTCACTCAGAAGTATCTGTAGTCACCAAGCCGTAGAGGACCCTGGGGACGCAGCTGTGCAGTACAGGCCACAGAGGATGCATTGTGATAATGACGTGTAATGGAGACCCACACAGTAACTGTGGCTGCAGTGAGTGCAGTTGGGCGGGAAGTGCAAGCGAGGCCCCTATCCTCCCGGGAGAGGCCCCCACCTGAGTTTGGCTGTGGATCTCTGTGCATTCAGTAAAAACTGTATTTGCCTCGCAAGGACAGCAGGTTTCCGCTGCGTTTTCCCTGGCCGGCCTGCCTTCTCCAGAGCGGGTGACTGTTCCGAGGACTGTCAAGGGTCTAGGGTTAGAATGACAGGTTACCCTCTTCCACAGTTCCACAGCTACTTCTAGTGACCCACTTTCTGGGCACATCGGCCCCCTTTGGATTACACAGTGTCATTTATCAATCATACTATAAAAGCCATCCAAATCAAGAAAATCTTATAATGCCAACAGAATCCTGCACTCTAGTCCCATTTATAAAGGCTTTTTGTGTCTTTGTCCTTAGAGATTATAAGAGTAGAGGACTGCAAATGGTATTCCTCGGGCTGACTATGGAATGCGGCTCATCCTGTGGTCTGGCACAACTAAAACTACAAAGGAAATCAAGCCCGTTATTGTTTTGTCTGTCTGTGCCGAGGGGTGCGTTGCTTATTAGCCAACCACAGTTTGTTTCTTTCTCATTTGGGACTGAAATAGAGGATGACTTATACCTGTGAAAATGTTTTGAAATATCTTCCATTAGTTGGACGCCTCTCCCTGGGTCCCCCTTCTTCAGGCCTCTCCTCTAATGTTCATTTGCTCTCAGTAAAGAGCTCTCATGTAAGAGTTTATTTCTCTGCTGTTCTTTGAGTGAACCATAGGAAAACACACTTGGTGAGATTCATATGTCAGGAAATGCAAAGCTTGGTAAAGATGATAAGTGTTTCAGAGGGGCGCTCGGTCCATCTTCACTGTGACAGGGTCTCTGCGGCCCACGAGGAGGAAGATAGGCAGGGGCCACCTTTCTGTGAAATGTGAATAAAGCCAAGGTCGTCCCTACTTGTATACTCATCCATCCATAAATCATCTCATCAAGCAGCTTATATTTATGTTTGGACCATATCTGAGGCATTTTATAACATGGATCTTTGTCTTATTTTACTCTGAGTTTTCAGCCATTGTTGTTTGATAATCCATAAGGATTAGAAATTTAGCGACATGTGGTCCTCAAACTATATTATATAATTTGAATCTAGTCTTAAAATAGGATTTTTGGACGCATCCTCAAACTATAAATGAACAGTTTAGGCGTTATGGGAGCTAGGAACAAGTTGTGGATTATTTGAGTAGAAGGAGAAAAGCCCCTGTGTGAACTTGGATTGATTTGTTCTTCCTGTTTTTTCCTGAAGGTGAGACCACCACTCCTCGGGCCATGCTGACAGGCCACGACTATGAGATCACCTGTGCTGCTGTCTGTGCTGAGCTCGGCCTGGTGCTAAGTGGTTCAAAAGGTAAACCTGTGGTGTCTTCATAAAATGCATGCATTTTGTAGCGTCTTCTAGTAACAAGTTAACCAAGATGACTTTGGTACTTTGTTCTCTAAAAATGAATGCTGTCTGTTGTGGTAGCCATGAGCCACGGAGGACTATTCAGCTGAAATAAAAAGTTCAGCTCCTTGGTGGCACTAGCCACATTTTAGGTGCTCGATATTGACACACGGTGGTTACCATGCTTGGCAGCACAGATACAGAACATTTCCATCATCGCAGAAAGTTCCATTTCACAGCATTGCTCCAAAGAGTGAGGCAGGAACAAGGAACATCTTCGTATGTTGTTTATTCTGCTGGACTGTGGGCTGGTTCCATCTCACACCTGGGTGGAAGCTCCTGACCTAGTCTGTTTCAACTTGCAAATCTCAGAAGTAGGCTGGACCCAGGACAGCACTGGGAATGGCGTGGAGATACTCCACTGGTCCACTGGGAGGTTTGCCCTGGTAAAGGTCAACAGGCATTTAGGCCACTGATACTAAACATGTTTTCAGAGAGCACACGCAACTCAGGATGTGACTGGGAGCAAAGCTCTTCCCGATTCATTGCTTATTCCATGGTAACAGACTGTCCAGCTCTCTGTGTCCCTGCCCTCAACTGAAGGTCTAGAACACAGGAAAAAGTCTTGCAATCTCCTCTTTTACACTTATCTGAAAGGGAGTTTGTGTCGCTTTATCTGTATCTTGAACTATAATGCTTAGGCTAGCTAACAACTAATTAAATATTCAAAGATTGAATTTAAAATTTTTGTTGGTCAAAATAATGAAATAATAATGATAGCAAGAATTCTAAATTACACTGTTTTTTTATGTCTTATACCCAGTGATTTTATATATCCTGAGTAAACATGTGTTCTTGGACAATACGGGAACCAAACTAGATGTAGAAAATGAACCTATCTTATCACAGGTTGTCCTTGGTTTACGTGGTGGTACAGGACCGTAAAAACTTCCATGTAAGCTGAAACCATGCAGGGGATCTTCATAATCAGTAGGAAAAATGATGATTGTTCATGGTCTTTAAAAACTTCTGTCAAAACATTAAAAATTCTCTTAGTTGTATACACACACACACACATATATATAGACATAAAAAAATAGAAATCACATTTACTTAATGCACTAATTTAAAACATTAGAAACATTGAGAATTAAATAATTTTTTTCTTTGTGAGAAACTTCTCAGGAGGACTTTGAGCAGTGCTTGCCACCTTCCTTTTGTATAACTTCAGGAGCTTGAGTGTTTTCTGTGACCAGGTGCTATATTCTTTCCTGTTTGGATCAGCTTCCAACATTTTATCATCTGTACTTTCATGTTCTGAAATACCCCAAAGGGTTCCTTTCATGGGGAGGTTTTGCTGGCATCAGTTCTTAGGGAGCATCACCATTTTTGTTGCAACCCCTTTCCTCATTCCTGCCCCTAAGTTCACCTTCAGTGATGTCCTCTGGATGCCTACAACCCAGGGCTCAGCAATGCCCACATCCCCGCAGGCAGCGCTTTCCTCCAGAGCCCCATTTAGACTCCATTCACATTTCTCGCTTAGCTTTACCCCTGTCCATTTCCTTAGCGCAGTCTCACCTCTCTTGGCCAATCACCCTCTTCTGATGATATGTTTTTGTCAAATGTCATGTGGGTTTACCCCTGGAGAGGAGGAGGTACCAACTGCACAGTTGGCCATGTGTGCGTGAACGAGTAGCACACGTGCAGGGACCGCTCCGGACAGCCTGGAAAGAGGTGACACGGTTGGTCACTGATATGATGCACGCCTGCTATGTACATAGTGATTTATAGACTGAGGAGCTCTTGCCAAGTGTGAACTTTAAAGTCACGGTGATAACTGACATTTGAGCCGTGCTGTTGAGGGCTGGTGTCAGTTCAAGACTGATAAGTAACTGAAATGCTGAGAACACAAAAAGCTTATAAAACTCCCCAAGTGGTCAAGAAAAAGCTGAGTGCCGTATGTGCAGAAGAACGTGCTTTTAGCGGTCAAGTGGGGCTGAGGCCTGAGAAACCCCAGAGAGCAGCCCACATACACTCCACTCCCCTCTTGCTGACCCGGACATCTGGTAGGACTTGCCCGTCACATGGCAGGTCCGGTCACCCGCGTCCTCTCCGCTGCGTGTGGCTGGCACTGGGCAGGGATGGAAACGCCCTGCTGTGTGTGGGCCCGTGTGCAGCGCCCTGGCCTCGACAGCCTCCGGGGCCCCGCCTGGGGATCTGGGAGCGGGGGCTGCCGCTGCTCACGTGGGGAGCAGCGGGAAGTGCGGTCAATGCCCAGGAGAGGTGGCAGAGGGGTCTCTAGATGAACATGCCTGGGGGGCCAGGCGCTGGCCTGCCAGGGACTTTCTCTCATTGTAAAGCAGTGAGCAGTGGGGCGCCCGAGGCCGAGGCCCCAGAAGCCGCCCGAGAGCGCTCCCCGTGCCGGCCCGCGGGACGGCCGCCATCGGCACGGGAGGCGCGGCACGGGGACTCTCTGCGGGTTTGATGGCAGCTCAGCCTTCCTGAAAGCTCGTCTAGGATTTGAAATTTGCCCTGCTCTTTTATGTATTCCTCCCATTTTTATCATCTATTGGCATAGTGACTTTCGTAAAGTAACTTCCTGTCTCTTAAGGAGAGGAGGACCTGACATGTATGACTCGATTTCTCCTCCAAGTGGAAGGTGAGATCTGGCGGCATACAGAGGAGACTTCACAAAGTAACCTATGTAAGATACACAGTTAATTGTGTAAGGCGTTCTACAACTGCAGTGTGCTGTGATCCGTCTGATCTGCAGTCCAGATTCAGATCACATTTGCTCTCATTAAAAAATTTAATTTGGACTTTTATTTCTCCCTTTCTTAGAAGGCCCGTGTCTCATACATTCCATGAATGGGGACTTGTTGAGGACTTTGGAGGGCCCAGAAAACTGTCTGAAACCGAAACTCATTCAAGCCTCAAGAGAGGGGCATTGTGTGATATTTTATGAGAACGGCGGCTTCTGTACATTCAGCGTGAATGGAAAACTGCAGGCCGCTGTGGAGACGGATGATAACATAAGGGTGAGTGCGCCGCAGACGGCTTTCTGGACTTCAGCCGCCCCGCAGGTGGCCGAGAAGGGAGGGGGGTCACTGAGGAGACCTCTGGTTCGGTGTCTCCGAGGGCCTGTCCTCCACACCAGAAGAAGATCATTAGGTTGCCCCTGGACGAGACTCGTGCACCTCGCAGACCGCAGCCTGTCCCGGCTGGGCCGACGGCATGCTCGGCCGGAAAGCTCTGTGCCCGAGACCCTTATGGGAGGCCCTGGACGATCCTTCAGCAGAAGAGGTTTTCTTAAAGTCTTGTGAAATGAACCTGGGTAGCCTTCAAAGGCACTGCTCAGCTTTTTTCATATTTTTATCTGAGGAAGTTAACTGCACGTTGTTGTTTTCCAAGTACCAACGCCAGGGAGAGCCTTGAGGTGGAGTGTACCTAAAGCCGGTGCCTCTTGACCCCTGGGCTGATGGACGGTGGCGGTGGGAGGATTGTGGCTGTTCAGGATCAGAATCGAAGTGCAGACCTGACTTCCTTCTGGGTAACAGGACCAAACCTTGCCGAGTACACAGGACCTCAGATCAGTATGCGAACTCGACACCTTTCCCCCCTTGGTGATGCTACATCTTCCGGGTCTTGCTTCATTTGCAGGCCAGGGCTCCATAAGTAGGAGAGGTTGGAGAGAAGGGTAAGGGCTGCTCTTCGGAGAGGCCGGTTTTCAAGGTCCTCCTTTTCTCACCACCCGATGTGCAGGAGCAGGTTAGGGTAAAATGAGGCTGTGGTGCCCCTGCATTTTCCAGGACGGGGTGGGGAGAATGTGAACGGGGACAGTGAGGAGGCCCGAGCCTGCCGGGGGCGGGGTAAGGGCCCAGAGGCCTGTGCGCTCCGAGTAGCCGCAGGCCGGCGCCTGCCGTTTTCCTCACTGCTGTTCCCGACCCAGGGTAGCTGAGGGCACTTCCAGTCTCCGGTTTCTCGGATGCAGTCTGATCACCCCCTTCTCTCCGGTAAATACTGGGGTCAGGAAGTATTAAAGACCGAAAAACCGTATGGATAGATTACATGGATGAAATCAAGGGCACTAGCTGCTCCGGTAGCCCAGGACCGATCCCTGACGCAGTGGATGGCTTTCTTCTCCATCACCCCACCCCTGTGAGTTGCTGCATTGCCCTCTGACAGCCTCCACCACAGAGGCACGCACATACTTGGCTTTTATTTTTCCCTTCCTTCTGATACTTCATTTAAACCAAGTACATATCAGACTATTTTTGCTTTTCTCTTTTTCTTTACAATAATGATGTTGATAATCTGTCACTTTGAGCTGCAATTATGTTGTCAGCTACAGTAATAAATCTACAAGATAATTTGAAATCTCTCACTCGCTAAAACAATACATGTGGCGTTTCAGCCAGTACCAAAGGCTCTGGCAGGCTCCTTGCGGCAGTAGCAGGGACGCTTTCTGCAGACTGTCCGTACACACATGCTTTTCCTCTGCCCTAGAGCCATCATTTTTTTCCCTCTGTAATCTTTCCCACTGGACTTCAGGCTTAAACAATCCGTTGCCTTTTCCCAGCACTCCTGCACTTCATCTGCTAACCTGCAACTGTGTGATTAAAGTGAGTTTGCCTAAAACAAGCACAACCTGCCCACAGCCCCAGAGACCAGCAGCATCTCTCAGCTAACTGCTTCAGATAGGAAGGAAGGAAACCACAGGCTGGGAATGAGAGACATCACAGAGCAGAAACTTCCAGCTCCATCCTGCTCCAGTCTGAGCCTGCTGTATAACGGAAACCATGGAAACAAAATAGTCATCAGCTCAGACCAGAAATTAAGTTCCTTTGAAATACCAAGAACCCTGCAGGCAGGCAGGCAGGCAGCCTGGGGAACCTCTGTGCTAATCAAGGCTTCCCACCTGTTTTTATTTAGATGCCAGATTGTTCAGTGGCATTTGCTTAACATATCACAGCACATCAACGAGGCAGTGTTTGGATGGCTTAATGAATAACTTAAATTTAAGTGGGCGACCTATACAGAGCAGTGAATTTATTTTAAAGAGTATAACCACCGGTTCACTCACAGGAACTCAATTCTTGGCTTTTCTTGAGGAAGCTGTGTTGTAGGATGTGATCACCCCCGAAGCCCGCTACAGACTGCTGGTACCGTCTTAAACACCAGTGCGGCCACAGCATTGTCCAGGACACTCAGGACTTCAGAGGATGAGATGAACATGTCTCTGGGGCCCTCTTAAAATCTAGAGTCTCAACCCGACCTGAATATATTAGAATTAAGAATTATGTGAATTATGTGAGTGAGTGCTGGTTGGGTGGAAAATAGGGCGCCATCCGATAAACGCTGCCTTCTCCCACCTCCAGGGCATTGATGGGTTCCTCGTGAGAAAGGCCAAGAAGCCTTTTCTTCACCTTAGTAGGCACCTAGCTTATTAAAATGTTTTGGATGCTGATAAACGTATAATCTTTAAAGTCCCGATTTTACTTAATTCCAGACAGAACAGGATTAGAGATTCTTTACCAGAACAAATAGTTAAAGATTAATTTTAATTTATGTTTAATATAAACATTTATCTAGTAAAAAGCCTCCAGGATAAACTCAAGTGAACTAGTCATAGGCTAAGAGATTTTCATCAGCTGAACTGTGAGTGTAATAAACAATTATTTGTCCTAGTCTGCATTGTAATTCCCAGAAGCTCCCCCTAGAGATTGCCATTTCTTAAATGAATGGGGGAAGAAGGTAAGATTTTTACTTACATTGAAAAAAATCGTTCCATTTGTATTTAGTTAAATTTAGAGAAAACTTCTTATATGTAACTATCTTCCACACATGGGTTTTTATTTGATCTATTTTTGTGTTGAGTGTTGAGAATAAACTATCTAAGAAACCACAAGTTTGTATTTACATGAACGAATTGAATGGCTATGAAACAATTCTATGATTTAAAAAAAAAATTTCGTCAAAGGGTAGGCTAAAGACTTAAGCAGCAGTACTAAAACACTGAATGCAGAACAGTGTAATACGATTTCAGAAGTCAGATTTCTTTCTGGCTTGCTAGCACCATCTCAGTTGTGTATTCCCACATTCACTGTGTCCAGGTAGACATAAGATGACAAGTGTTTGCAGTAACTTCTAGAACTCCCAATGTCACCTAGCTAAAGAAAGGAAATATCTATATCTTAACAAGCTAGGGAAAGAAGGTTTGGAGCGAAATGGGCAGGAGAGGAGGGGTAATAGGATTAGCTCTTAGAGTAAGGAGGGACCGTTTACATTAGGAGGTGACAAACTTTTACTGCGAAAGGACATAGTACATACTTTAGGCTTCATAGGCATTAAGTAGCCATAAACGAATGGGTATAGCTGTGTTATAGGTTAAATAAACCTTATTTGTGGGCACTGAAATTTGGAATTCGTATAATTTTCATGTCATGAAATATTTTTCTTTTGACATTTTTCAACCATTAAAAAATGTAAAAAGTCATACAAAAACAGGCAGAGGTCTGCATTTGGCCCGTTTTACAGGACTAAAGAGCAAATGCCATGTCCACCCTTTCTGTTCAGTACCAGCAGGAAGCAGTCAGTCCTGGGCAAGAAGAAAATGCTTCATCACCCTGGAAGTGGTGGTTTTCTACCAAGTCGTCTTCCCAACTACTGTAAAAATCCAGCAGGCCTAGTGAAGGTGCTGAGGCTGTTGGTCATCTCCTGTGAGGCCACAGCCCCAAAGGCAGCATTCTCTTTTGGGGCCTGTGAGGCCAGCTAGCCTGTCACTCACCTTGCTTGGTACAAAATGGGCTTAGCACGTCCACAGTACAGCTGAAGAAACGCCAGGAGGCTCCTTGTTTTCGTGTGCTGGTTCTACACACTACACCTATTTATGTAGTATTTATAGAACTGGAAGTGTTAGCCACCTCCTTAAAAAAAAAATTAAGTACTGCCTAACTGTCCATTTCATTTTTGAGAAACGGCAGAAGCTTTTTACAACTCATAATTTCCTAAAAACTCTTCAGGCACATGTACATGCTCTCTCCCTGTGCAGCAGCAGCTGGCATTGTGTAGCAGTTCATCAAACACCGGGTGTGGGCCGACATGTCCCTAGAGCCATGGCTCTACTGAAGGTTGCTTTGTCTCACAGGCCATCCAGATGAGCCGGGACGGGCAGTACCTGCTCACAGGAGGAGACAATGGTGTGGTCATGGTCTGGCAGGTGTCTGACCTCAAGCAGCTCTTTGCCTATCCAGGGTGCGATGCCGGCATCCGGGCCATGGCCCTGTCTTACGACCAGAGGTAACACCGATATCGCGGGCGGTATTAAAAATGCAGGAGTCTATTTAAGTGGGCTGATGGGTGGGTTGGGTTGTGAGGGTCACCTGTATAATCAAAAAAGCCAATGAATATTGGGGTTCCCAAATTACTTTCTTAAAAAGTGTGATTTTTATTTTTCTGATGGCATTGCCACTCTTGGACAAAGGCTGAATTTTTCAGTAATAGACAGGATTTAAGTAACAAAGGCTTCAATTACATTACTGTAAATCTTTTTATATTTCTTAAAGCATCTTTTCTCTTAAAAAGTTAAGATCCATAATCATGTGTAATGTAAAATGCCCATATCTCTGTCCATGAGGATTCCATTGAGAGATTTGGCTTATTTCCTAAAACCTCCCAAGTGGTAAATTTGGGGGAGATCATCTTTATCTGGCATCTTACTTCCTCTTAATTATAGTCATTCATTTTAGTCCCTATTTTTTTGTATTGTAACAAATATAAAATTTACCATTTAAGTAATTTTTCAGTGTACAATTCAGTGGCATTAAGTACATTCACATTGTCGTACAGCCATGACCACCATCCCATCTCCAGAGCTGCTTCTTAAACATTAAACAAGCTCTGTCCTTCCCTCCCCTCGGCTCCAGCTCACCTCAGTTTCACTGTCTCTATGAGTTCGCCTCTTCATACAGTGGAATATAGTGGAATCATACAATATTTTTCCTTTTATGTCTAGCTTATTTCACGTGCTGTTTTCAAAATTTCATGCTGTACATATATCAAAATCTCATTACTTTGTAAGGCTGAACAATGTCAACTGAACAGTTGACATTGATATTGCCACCTTTTGGCTATTGTGAATAATGCTATGGACATTGACATACAGATGTCTGTTCAAATCCTTGTTTTCAGTTCTTTTGGGTGCATACCCAGGTGTGGAATAGCTGGGTCATATGGTAATTCTGTTTAACATTTTGAGGATTCGCCAAATTGTTTTCCAGAGTGTGAACCATTTTACAGTCCCAGCAATGTACGAGGGTTTCAGTTTCTCCATATCCTCACCAACATGTTATGTTGTGTTTTGTTTTTTTTTTAACAATAGCTATCTTAGTGGATGTGGTCTCTCATTCTGGTTTTGATTTGCATTTCCCTAATGTTTAGTGGTGTGACTGTGTACTCCTTAATAATACCCTTTGATGTGCGAGTTTTAAATTTTGATAAATCTAATTTATCTATTTTTTTCCATTATTACCTATGCTTTTGGCATATCCAAGAAATCATTGCAAAATTCAATGTCATGAAGCTTTTTCCCTAAGAGTTCTATAGTTTTTAACTGTTTAGTGTTTGATCAATTTTGAATTAAGTTTGCATATGATGGCAGATAAGGGTTCACCTTCACTCTTTTGTGGTGGTTATCAATTTTCCCAGCACTATTTGTTGAAAAGATCCCCTTTCCCCATCAAATGGTTGTGATGCCCTTGTGGAACATCATTTGATGATATATTTTGATATATATGAGTTTATTTCTGGGTTCTCTATTTATTGGCTATATGCCAGTACCACAGTTTTGATTACTGTAGCTTTTGTATTAAGTTCTGAAGTCACGAAGTATGGGACATCTGATTTTGTTCTTCCTCAAGATTGTTTTGGCTATTTAGGGTCCCTTGAGATTCCATATGAATTTTAAGATGAGTTTTTGTACTTTTGCAAAAAATACATGGATTTTGATAGGGATTGGGTTGACTATAGATGGCTCTGGCTAGTATTTATCATTTAATAACATTGTCTTCTAATCCATGAACATGAGATGTCCTTCCATTTATTTATGTCTAATTTCTTTCAATAATACTTTGTAGTTCTCAGTATATGAGTTTTTTGCCTCCTTGATTAAATTTATTCCTGAATATTTTATTATTTTTGTTGCTGTGCTTGTCCTCAATATCCTTTTTAGATTTTTCATTATTCATGTACAGAGATGCAACTTGTGTGTGTCGATTTTGTGTCCTGAAACTTTGCTGAATTTCATTAGCTCTAAGTTTTTTGCTTTTGAATCTTTAGGATTTCCTACATATAAGATCATGTCATCTGTAATAGAAATAATTTTGCACTTCCTTTCCAGTTTGGATGTCTTTTCTTTCTTTTTCTTGTCTAATTGCTCTGACTGGGATATCCAGTACTATACTGAATAGAAGTAGTAAAAATTGGGTGTCTTTGTCTTATTTCTGATCATAGGGGAAATGCTTGGTCTTTCACCATTGAGTATGATGTTGGCTATGGGTTTTTCAGAAATACCTGTTATCATGTTGAGGTACTTTTCCTTCTATCCCTAGTTTGAGTGTCTTCATCATGAAAGGATGTTGAATTTTGTCAAATGCCTCTTCATTGAGATGATCCATGTAGGTTTTTGTTAATTCTGTTAATGTGGTATATAGTACATTGATTATTGTATATTGAACTAGCCTTATATTCCAAGAATAAATCCCTCTTGGTCATGGTCAATAAATCCTTTACTATGCTGTTGAATTCAGTTTGCTAATATTTGTTGAAGGTCTTTATATCTGTATTCATGAGGGATATTGGTCTGTAATTTTCTTGCAATGTCTTTGGTGGTATGCTGACCTCACTGACCAACTCAGGAACTCAGGAATTATTGGGTTTTTTTTTTTTTGTTTGTTTTTTAAGAATTCAAGTTGGTGTTAACCCTCCCTCCTTTAAATGTTTAGAATTCACCAATGAAGCCATTTGGTACAGGTATTTTCTTTATTAGATAGTTTTAAATTAGTAATTCAGTCTCCTTACCAGTCATAATTCTATTTGGATTTTTCTATTTTTTTCATAATTCAGTTTAGTATGTGTTTCTAAGAATTTGCCTATTTTTCCTAGGTTATCCATATAGCTGTTCCTAGTATTCTTTTATAATCCACTTTATAATTTTAGTAATTTGAGTTTTTCTTAATCTAGCTAGATTTGTCAATTTTGCTGACTTTTCTCTATTGTTTTTCTGTCATCTGCATGCCAATCTTTCTTTCTATTAACTTTGGGTTTAGTTTGCTCTTTTTCTAGTTCCTTAAGGTGTGCAAATTAGATCTTTCTTCTTTTTTAATATATGTGTTTACAGCTGTAATTGTCCCTCTTAGCCCTACGTTCTTTGCATCCTGTTAGATTTTGTTGTGTTTTGTTTTCATTTGTCTCAGGGTGTTTGCTAACTTTCCTTTTTTTCTGTTTGTTCAGCACATTATTGAAAGTGGCATATTGAATTCTCCAACCAGGATTGTAGAATTGCTCATCTTGCCCTTCAATATTGTCAGTGTTGGCTTTATATATCTTGGGGGCTTTGCTGCTTGGTGCATACATGTTGACCTTTTTATTGGCATACTGTGCCCTTTGTTTCTTGCAACGGATATTGACATAAAGCCTATTTTGTCTGATATTACTATAGCTATTCCAGCTCTTACTATCTTCATGGGATATCTTTTTCCGTATTTTCACTTTCAGACTGTGTTTAGATTTAAAGCAAGTCTCTTGTAGGCAGCAGCATAGTTTGATCATGTATTTTTTTTACCCATTCTACCAGTTTCTGCATTTTGTTTGGAAAGGTCAATCCCTTTATAAAGTAATTACCAATAAGGGAACACTTCTTTTGCCATTTTACTATTTTTTCCTGTATGTCTTAAAGTGTTTTTGTCCCTCATTTCCTTACTTCATTCTTTTTTGTGTTTAGTTGATTTCTTATGCTGATACATTTTAGTATTTTGATATGAGGTACTAGGAATGATACTAAATATGACTTCTAAGGCCTGATCCTAACCGAACCATACAGAGAAAGATCTAAAATAATAGGCTTCACTGAACAGCTCATCTTCCTGCTGTCCATGTCTTCCCTGCAGCTCTTGTCTTTAGTGATCATTTCAGTGACTCATTGTTAGGGGCACGACAATGGGCATAGTCTTCTGTGGAACCCAGCCCAAATATGGTCAGCCATTTGCATGCTTACCCTCCACCGACTCTGTGCCTGTCACAGAGCTTACCTGATTTTGTGTGCTTCATCCAGCAGCAGTTACGTAATACATAAGATGGGACTTGTCTGCCCAGACCCCTTAGGAATGATCAAGTCTGTTCAGGTTTTAGTGACTCATTCTGCACATACTGGCTGTCCTTTCAGTAAAAAGGCAAACTGTCGCTTGGATCCTTGTGGCGCATCAGAGGTGATGCTCTAAGCATACTGAGGGCAGCATTTTAGTAATCAAAAAACGTACCTTAGTTCTCACAAATTGTTAGCTTTGACAGCCATCTTCTGTATTTCCCTTGCAGACTTGGGAATGGCAGTTCTTTCTCTAGTAACAGATCCCTAGGAAATAGGTTTGTAAACCCCTCCCTCTCTCTGTGCTTCTCCCAGGTGCATCATTTCTGGCATGGCCTCAGGAAGCATCGTTCTATTCTACAATGACTTTAACCGGTGGCATCATGAATACCAAACCCGCTACTGACAGTGACAGCTGCGCATCAGCCTTGCCTCCAGCCCGGGTGGGGGAAGTACTCCAGAGCATCTTTCTCTTAGAAACAGCTGTCACATTTGAATGTAACTTAAATTTGCTCTGCTCTAAGAAGCAAAATATTTTTTAAAGTTAATTGCTATTTTTGTAGACTTTGCTTGACTTTTTTGGGGGACTAGCAAAGCAGAAAACTGGCTGCTAGGTTCTGTAGTTTTAAAAAATCTATATTTTTAGTCATAATGAGACGTCTATTTTCACCAGTTATGGAACATGCCATGAAGCAAGTAAGCCCACTTACTCTAGCTGTATTATGATAAAAAAAACTTCCCATTTATCTGTAATCTTGAGAAATATATGGTTTCAATGGTAGGGCAGGGTTACAATGCTGGGTTAGGGGAATTTAATGCTGTACTTTGAGTCCTGTATTTTTCCAGACAATTGTCTTTCTTCCGCACTGAAATTCTGAGATTTAGATAGTAATGTTTAAATTATGGTAAATGTAATTTAAAACATCTTAATGAATTATTTCTTTCAATATTATTCAAGCATGTCTTAGACCTAGAAAATTATGGTTTGGGGGAGGTTATTTTATTGTATGGTTAACATAAAAGCTCTAATGTTATATAGCAAGCGTGAAATACAATGTTTCCCAATACATGATCTATGTTCCCAGCACACCAAAATGAAATGATGGAAAGCTCTGGGCTCATAATTTATGTTTTCTTTCAAAGTAAATGCAAGTACCAAAGCTCAGCCCTAAGGTCTGACTGTGTGCCTGGACTGAGGCAGAGTCTTCACTGGGGTCTCCCGCCCACCCCCAGACCGTCAGCTGGGAACAGAGGCTACCAGGTGTTAAATTAAGCAACACCAGTTTTACCTTCTATTTGTTATTAAACTATCTTTACCTTCCTTTTGATGAGTGATTTATACTAAGAAACAATGTTATTTTGGTGTATAATTCTACTTTTCTAGTAGATTGCTGTGTGGAATTCTGTGAAAAATATTTGAGAAGAGGTCTGTATTGCATAAATAAATTCTTTGTAAGTTGTGAACTTTGAGTTGAAACTGACATTCCATTTCTATTTCTCTTGCAACTCACTTAAAAAGGAACAACTCAGTTTGACAGAAGAATAAATGGCATTTGTAACCAAACTGTTGGAAATACTTTTTCAGTCCTAATTTTAAAACTCTGGTTCAGATTCTGAACAACAGCCATTAAGAAAGAGATTCCCTTAAAATAAAAACAAGGAACATGAGCCTTTTCTGGCCAGATAGCTCCCTCTTAGGAGACTTGTGCAAATGAGAACACTAGCTCTGTAGCTAACAAATGACCACGCAAGAAACTTCATGTGCTGTTTCATGTAAGATCCACCATTGTTTTGTAAACCATTAATAAAGAAAACAAAAGATGGTAAAATGTGGGAGGGAGGGGGAAAAAGTACATTTTGGAATCAAATATCCAAGTTATTTATGGTCAATTAACTAAATATCCTCACTGGTATTAACCTGTGATATACTTTAAAAACCTTACCAAAAATGGTAGAAGAAAATTAGGAATATCTAAATTATATGCCAGGCATATCATACCTCAACTAACCTATTTTAACAAGCCTAAAGCAAAGTTAATAAAGCAGCTTCCTCTGGAGCCGAGAAGCAAATCAGGGCCTCTACTGCCTTTATTATTTTTAACTGTAAAACTGTGGAAAAGTAACTGGAACATAATACTTATGTATTAGTACTTACTTGGATCATAAAACAAACACAGCTGGCCCCAGGGCAAGGGCTTCACAATGACACAGAGTCTCTGTAGTGCGGTAGTACGTTTTACTCAACATTCACAAATTTTACCCAATTTTAACTCCCTTTTTTTTAAAAAAAAATTATTTCAAATAAATGTAAACCAGTTAGGAGAAAAAAGTCAGAGCTGAGGTGGTTTGGCATGAAACTGGGTGACCTGCCACAGGTGAGAAACACGGCAGCGCATCCGGTGAGCAGACGAGGCGGAAAGCCCGGTGTGACCGGTTTACATGGTCGTCACCACTGGTTTTAAAGCACATTAGCTCCAGAAATTAACATTTTCCTCCCTGATAGTACTGATTCTTACTGAAATACCAATTGAGTCCTTGAGGGTCTGTAGTTTTGAAATCCTACTAGATCCTGGGAGAAAGCCAGAGGGCTCGGGGAACAGAGAACATGAAAACCTGACAAACGCACTCAAACGGGCTGGCAGACAGTTCACTGTCAGGTGAGAATCTCACTCCCACAGTACACAAAACATCCTTACATAAATGTTCTAGTAAGTTAATTCAATAAAAAGGAATGATTTTTCCCCTTGAAATAACATCACACAGGACAAAAAGATTGTAAGTACCCTGCGTGGGGACCACAGGGAACCGCGTGTGGGACACTGTCAGTAGCTTACAACCCAGGGCTGCCCTTCTCCATTCCACTCCAAGAGCTGATCTGAGCCGGAGGGCCAGGGGCCCAAGCACACACCTTGTGCTGTTGTCCACCCACCTCGGTCAGAGGGCCAGGGAGATGGCAGGGGTCACATGAGTCAAGGTTACAGGAAATGCAAGGAATCCCAGATGCAGACTGCACACCCACTTTCCACCCTTTGTGGCAAATATAAATGAACTAAAATAGCAAACATCAGATCTACCAAGACTGGAATTTTCAGGGAGAGATTTTTCACTAGGTGCCTTTGATATGTTTTTACTGGATATGATTTCCCAAGTTCCTGGCCATACAAATCATGGCCCAGTTTGGTCCTTCTTACGGCGTCAGTCCTGCCCTGCTCACCATCCCCGCTGAGGAACAGTACACCGATGGTACGCGTCCTGCATCCAGAAGCAGAACTGCCTTCAGTTAAACAGTTGGAAGGACCCACCACTGGGCTTGGTGGAGAAGCGTTGCCAGTTCCTGGTCCTAGATCCTGGCGGAGGAGCCAGCCTCAGAGCCTCGTCATCACATGACTCCTAATAACAGGCCCAAGCATGTTCACAAACAGCAAGGAGGGCATCACTTAAATCTGAAAACCTGCCCAAATCAGCCAATAACACCAGTGCCTCTGCTTGGCTGTTTCTGCCCCACCACAGGGAAGGAAGGGGGCTCCAACATCAACTGAGTGAGCAACCAGCCTAGCTACTTCCCATTTTTGTAGCATGGAGTGCAATAATTTAATACCATGCCCATCACAGGTTATCACTGCACTGCAGGGGAAGCAAGAAAGTGGAAGCGGGGAAGTTTCCAGACCTCCTAACTGCAGAAAAGACCACAAAATAGTAAATCAGTGAAGTAATAAAAAAAATGTTTTTAAAATTCTGTCTCTTCTGTTTCCTCTAAGATGAGTGGGAGACACATCTTTGGGATTCTTCTTTTAAATAGATGTGAAAAGTTGAGCCCAGGATGCGTTTCTCAGGTGCCCCGAAGTCCTAAGCTCACTAACTAGAAACCCAAGGCCACGGCTCAACACTGACACATGAACCCCAGCCCTCCCGCTGTGACCCAGAAATGCAGAGTGCTCCGACCAGGGCACCTCACATTTTTCTAATGAAGTGGACGGCGTTTGGCCTTGGGGCAAGCTCCCGTCCTGAGGCAGCTCCCGGGCTCGGCGAGGCGGCAGTCCACAAATGCTCGCATGAATTCCAAGATCTCAGCAGGCATATGCAGGAAACATGAAGGGAATTATTTTTCTGTCTCAAGTTCAGGAATATTTTTCCTTGCCAAAACCAAAATTGTGGTGTTGCTGGGCAGGCTTATTTCCTCAAAACTGACAGGAAGCTGCTGGCTGCTCTGGAGAGTTAAGACTTGGACAACATGAAAGACATTCCCCAGACCCGACCCGAGCCTCAGCACACAGGTGCCCAAACATTGCCACCCGCCCAGCTTGGCCCAAGCGGGAGGGAACCGCCCCAGCCACACTGCCCTGAATGAAAGGGGCTCATGTCTGGAAGAGGCATGGCAGGGGCAAGTGACTGTCTCTGTGCCAATTATGCCCTTTCCTTCCCTCGCAATACCACCCCACAGCTAACTGCCAGAGCTCTTGGCTGCAGGTCCTATCAGATCAAACCCCTTAAAGTCCAAGACCTGGCCAAGATGGAGCAAGCTGCACACATCAGCTGCCCTCCGGAGAAACTACTCTCTTCCCTCCCCTAATAAAACTCACATGCCCCTGCTTCTGGTAACCTCTTAGCCTCCTCGGTGTTTGATCATTTTGCCAGATATCACCCCTACCCAATCCCCCACTGCCTAAGGACATGATGTCCCCTGCAAAGCATCTCTGACCACCTGGGGGGCAGCCCTGGGAGCCCGGAGAAGCAGGTCCCCGCTCCAGCCACTTGGTGCGCTCTTGACACTTCTCAGTTTACCCACTTATCAGATGGGGATATTAACATTCAGTTCTCAGGGCTGTGGTGTGGCTCAATGGAGACAGGATGAAAAACTTCCATCAACTGGTTCTTATTATTCAGTATCTAGGCATTTCCAAGAACTCAGTAATCACTCCTTTAGAAAGCAGTAATTCTGTCACAGGACTGCTCTGTGATCAGTCTTACTCCAACTGAGCATTCATATCTGACCCTTTGTGCCTACATACTGACTTTGGGCCGCCATCCAGAGCAAGTCAAGTAAGTCTGCACTGCCTGCCACAGAACAGCTGTCCACGCGGCCACAGACCTCCAGCAGATGTGCCCTGCTCTCCCCTAACACCTGAGCGTTTTTTCCACCAGTCCTTGGCTGCCAGGCCTCACGCCCCCTTCTCCACTGTTTGTCCTCTGCTTTATCTGCACCCCACACCTCAAGGCCCCAAAACAGAACTCCATACTGCAGGGCTCGGCTAGTACTGCCCACAGCCTGCACATACTTGTCACGACACAGTTTAAGATGATGCTGACACCAAAGCAGCTTAGCAGGCACCTAATGAGATGGGGATCTCTGTCTCTGGAACTCTGGAATTCCACTGGAATTCTCCACTCTTTCTCACGAAGCAGTGACGTCAAGGCCTTGGGCAGCTGCAGAGTCACAGGACTTCACACTTCACACCCAGGTCTGTATCAGCATTCTAACCTGCTGAGATACTTTTAAATCAGTCCACCCCATTTACAATGGATAAGCATTCTTAATACATCATCATTCACATCATATCCCACAACAAACCAAAACAAACACAGAGTAAGAAACACTGAGAACAGTGGCCCTTCTTCAGGGCTCACACAGTCCAGCACGGCAAGCGTAGCCACACAGGGCTACTAAATGTTTGCACGGCCCCTCGCCCAAAGTGCGATGTGCTGTAAAGGTCAATACATTCCCAATTTCAAAGACAGCATGTAAAATATCCCAATGAATTTTTTTATACTGATTACATGTTAAAATGATACTTTGGATATGTTTAGATATATTGGGTTAAATAAAACATACTATTAAAATTAACTTCTCCTATTCCTTTTCTTTTTTAGTGTGGGACCAGACAATGTTAATTTATGTGGCTTACATTATGTTTCTACAGGTCAGCAAACCTAGAACTCTCTCTCTAAGACAACACCATTCGTCCACACTCTTTCCAGGTAGTTAATCTGTGCTGAACTGTCCTCACTTATCTCCTAATCCACATTTCACAATTTGATCCATTAAAACATTCTAGGGAAGTTTTGTCAAATGCTCTCGCTCCAAATAGTCCATATATTTCATGCCACAGCAACCTTTTTGAAGATAGCTACACACCCTGACTCTTGGACCAACTTCTGCACCCAGCAGACACCCTATGATGAACACTTTGGCAGGTCAGCACCTCCCTTTTTCTATCCCATTCAGAGGTCAGTTTCTTTTGGCACTGATCCCCTGCCTGTACATTACAGCTTTTTTGAAACCGCCTTCCTCCTAAAGCCTGTACCTGGGCCCAGGAAGCCCATGTGCATTTTGTAACCAGCCTCTGGATTGGATCCTGGGTCAGCACCAGCCCAAAGAGAAACCACTGCGTAGCTGGGACCAGTCAGATGGTCTCACTCCTTCAGCAATTTGAACTAAGAGATCCAGAGCTGAAGCAGATGGTTCCGGGCCTGTAGTTGTACAGCCTTGAGGCACTGGAGACAGAAACAGTTACGGCTGAGCCAGAGCCATGGGCAAGCATGTACTGCAGTCTCTGAGAGATTCCACATAGAGCCTGGCCTTGCCGTTGGTTAAGACCCCTCTGTTACACACTGACACACCCTACGATTTTTGAGCCTTGGCGGCATGAGCTTCTGCACCTGTAATCAAATGAACTGTGACGAGAACACAGCTCCCTGTGTTCTTCCCCAGCACTGTTCCCTCTTCTCTTCCCCCTTCGACCCCGTGACGTCACATAGACTGACACTGGCACCTGCCGGAACCTGGGCTGCGGGGGTTGCGCGTTAACCATGCTTCCTTTCGCAAAACACCAGGACAGAAACCTCTGCCCGCCCCGGATTACTTTCGCTCAAGGAGGAGTTTATTGCAGGTTGGGTACACGTGTAGAAGGCAAAAGTCTAACAGTGAGAGTGAACTGCAGGGCCCACCAGGTTAGAAGACGAGCAGGTGAAACAAATACACTGATTATGTACAATTCTTAAAAAGAGCAGGGTGGTGGGAAAAAGGAAAAACTGCCAGCAGCCTTCCAGAAGGTTAGGAACAGAGGGGGTCTGGGGCACCTTCCTGTCCCGGTCCTGGCGGTGACGCCAGGGGTCCGGTCGCCCTGCTCTGTGGGTGGGCTTGCCGAGAAGGGCCCCCTGCTGCCAGGCGGCACAGCACGCACCGGGCCTTCGTTCAGAAGCCCAAGGGACCGCTTGATTAGCAATTCCTAACAAGTACGTGGGAAGAGCTGGGGGGGAAACACAGTATCTAAGGAAGAAAGGGACCTTGCCCTGTGGTCTGTGCACAAATAAATACCCAGTGTTGTCCTACGCGAGCCGCAACCCCAGCTGTACGGGGGCTGCTTCCTCGGGCCCCGAAAGCTCTCGGCGGAGTCCGGAGTAGCGCCTGTGGCCAGGCCGTCCACTCAGCTCGCTTCCTCCGGCGCAGGGCAGCCCCGGGCCCGGTCAGCAGGTTGGCGCCACGCCCCGTCTCGCAGGACACCCAAAGGGGCAGGGGCGGCGCTGAGTTCTCCGTAAGAAAAGGTGGNTCCTTAAGGTGTGCAAATTAGATCTTTCTTCTTTTTTAATATATGTGTTTACAGCTGTAATTGTCCCTCTTAGCCCTACGTTCTTTGCATCCTGTTAGATTTTGTTGTGTTTTGTTTTCATTTGTCTCAGGGTGTTTGCTAACTTTCCTTTTTTTCTGTTTGTTCAGCACATTATTGAAAGTGGCATATTGAATTCTCCAACCAGGATTGTAGAATTGCTCATCTTGCCCTTCAATATTGTCAGTGTTGGCTCTATATATCTTGGGGGCTTTGCTGCTTGGTGCATACATGTTGACCTTTTTATTGGCATACTGTGCCCTTTGTTTCTTGCAACGGATATTGACATAAAGCCTATTTTGTCTGATATTACTATAGCTATTCCAGCTCTTACTATCTTCATGGGATATCTTTTTCCGTATTTTCACTTTCAGACTGTGTTTAGATTTAAAGCAAGTCTCTTGTAGGCAGCAGCATAGTTTGATCATGTATTTTTTTTACCCATTCTACCAGTTTCTGCATTTTGTTTGGAAAGGTCAATCCCTTTATAAAGTAATTACCAATAAGGGAACACTTCTTTTGCCATTTTACTATTTTTTCCTGTATGTCTTAAAGTGTTTTTGTCCCTCATTTCCTTACTTCATTCTTTTTTGTGTTTAGTTGATTTCTTATGCTGATACATTTTAGTATTTTGATATGAGGTACTAGGAATGATACTAAATATGACTTCTAAGGCCTGATCCTAACCGAACCATACAGAGAAAGATCTAAAATAATAGGCTTCACTGAACAGCTCATCTTCCTGCTGTCCATGTCTTCCCTGCAGCTCTTGTCTTTAGTGATCATTTCAGTGACTCATTGTTAGGGGCACGACAATGGGCATAGTCTTCTGTGGAACCCAGCCCAAATATGGTCAGCCATTTGCATGCTTACCCTCCACCGACTCTGTGCCTGTCACAGAGCTTACCTGATTTTGTGTGCTTCATCCAGCAGCAGTTACGTAATACATAAGATGGGACTTGTCTGCCCAGACCCCTTAGGAATGATCAAGTCTGTTCAGGTTTTAGTGACTCATTCTGCACATACTGGCTGTCCTTTCAGTAAAAAGGCAAACTGTCGCTTGGATCCTTGTGGCGCATCAGAGGTGATGCTCTAAGCATACTGAGGGCAGCATTTTAGTAATCAAAAAACGTACCTTAGTTCTCACAAATTGTTAGCTTTGACAGCCATCTTCTGTATTTCCCTTGCAGACTTGGGAATGGCAGTTCTTTCTCTAGTAACAGATCCCTAGGAAATAGGTTTGTAAACCCCTCCCTCTCTCTGTGCTTCTCCCAGGTGCATCATTTCTGGCATGGCCTCAGGAAGCATCGTTCTATTCTACAATGACTTTAACCGGTGGCATCATGAATACCAAACCCGCTACTGACAGTGACAGCTGCGCATCAGCCTTGCCTCCAGCCCGGGTGGGGGAAGTACTCCAGAGCATCTTTCTCTTAGAAACAGCTGTCACATTTGAATGTAACTTAAATTTGCTCTGCTCTAAGAAGCAAAATATTTTTTAAAGTTAATTGCTATTTTTGTAGACTTTGCTTGACTTTTTTGGGGGACTAGCAAAGCAGAAAACTGGCTGCTAGGTTCTGTAGTTTTAAAAAATCTATATTTTTAGTCATAATGAGACGTCTATTTTCACCAGTTATGGAACATGCCATGAAGCAAGTAAGCCCACTTACTCTAGCTGTATTATGATAAAAAAAACTTCCCATTTATCTGTAATCTTGAGAAATATATGGTTTCAATGGTAGGGCAGGGTTACAATGCTGGGTTAGGGGAATTTAATGCTGTACTTTGAGTCCTGTATTTTTCCAGACAATTGTCTTTCTTCCGCACTGAAATTCTGAGATTTAGATAGTAATGTTTAAATTATGGTAAATGTAATTTAAAACATCTTAATGAATTATTTCTTTCAATATTATTCAAGCATGTCTTAGACCTAGAAAATTATGGTTTGGGGGAGGTTATTTTATTGTATGGTTAACATAAAAGCTCTAATGTTATATAGCAAGCGTGAAATACAATGTTTCCCAATACATGATCTATGTTCCCAGCACACCAAAATGAAATGATGGAAAGCTCTGGGCTCATAATTTATGTTTTCTTTCAAAGTAAATGCAAGTACCAAAGCTCAGCCCTAAGGTCTGACTGTGTGCCTGGACTGAGGCAGAGTCTTCACTGGGGTCTCCCGCCCACCCCCAGACCGTCAGCTGGGAACAGAGGCTACCAGGTGTTAAATTAAGCAACACCAGTTTTACCTTCTATTTGTTATTAAACTATCTTTACCTTCCTTTTGATGAGTGATTTATACTAAGAAACAATGTTATTTTGGTGTATAATTCTACTTTTCTAGTAGATTGCTGTGTGGAATTCTGTGAAAAATATTTGAGAAGAGGTCTGTATTGCATAAATAAATTCTTTGTAAGTTGTGAACTTTGAGTTGAAACTGACATTCCATTTCTATTTCTCTTGCAACTCACTTAAAAAGGAACAACTCAGTTTGACAGAAGAATAAATGGCATTTGTAACCAAACTGTTGGAAATACTTTTTCAGTCCTAATTTTAAAACTCTGGTTCAGATTCTGAACAACAGCCATTAAGAAAGAGATTCCCTTAAAATAAAAACAAGGAACATGAGCCTTTTCTGGCCAGATAGCTCCCTCTTAGGAGACTTGTGCAAATGAGAACACTAGCTCTGTAGCTAACAAATGACCACGCAAGAAACTTCATGTGCTGTTTCATGTAAGATCCACCATTGTTTTGTAAACCATTAATAAAGAAAACAAAAGATGGTAAAATGTGGGAGGGAGGGGGAAAAAGTACATTTTGGAATCAAATATCCAAGTTATTTATGGTCAATTAACTAAATATCCTCACTGGTATTAACCTGTGATATACTTTAAAAACCTTACCAAAAATGGTAGAAGAAAATTAGGAATATCTAAATTATATGCCAGGCATATCATACCTCAACTAACCTATTTTAACAAGCCTAAAGCAAAGTTAATAAAGCAGCTTCCTCTGGAGCCGAGAAGCAAATCAGGGCCTCTACTGCCTTTATTATTTTTAACTGTAAAACTGTGGAAAAGTAACTGGAACATAATACTTATGTATTAGTACTTACTTGGATCATAAAACAAACACAGCTGGCCCCAGGGCAAGGGCTTCACAATGACACAGAGTCTCTGTAGTGCGGTAGTACGTTTTACTCAACATTCACAAATTTTACCCAATTTTAACTCCCTTTTTTTTAAAAAAAAATTATTTCAAATAAATGTAAACCAGTTAGGAGAAAAAAGTCAGAGCTGAGGTGGTTTGGCATGAAACTGGGTGACCTGCCACAGGTGAGAAACACGGCAGCGCATCCGGTGAGCAGACGAGGCGGAAAGCCCGGTGTGACCGGTTTACATGGTCGTCACCACTGGTTTTAAAGCACATTAGCTCCAGAAATTAACATTTTCCTCCCTGATAGTACTGATTCTTACTGAAATACCAATTGAGTCCTTGAGGGTCTGTAGTTTTGAAATCCTACTAGATCCTGGGAGAAAGCCAGAGGGCTCGGGGAACAGAGAACATGAAAACCTGACAAACGCACTCAAACGGGCTGGCAGACAGTTCACTGTCAGGTGAGAATCTCACTCCCACAGTACACAAAACATCCTTACATAAATGTTCTAGTAAGTTAATTCAATAAAAAGGAATGATTTTTCCCCTTGAAATAACATCACACAGGACAAAAAGATTGTAAGTACCCTGCGTGGGGACCACAGGGAACCGCGTGTGGGACACTGTCAGTAGCTTACAACCCAGGGCTGCCCTTCTCCATTCCACTCCAAGAGCTGATCTGAGCCGGAGGGCCAGGGGCCCAAGCACACACCTTGTGCTGTTGTCCACCCACCTCGGTCAGAGGGCCAGGGAGATGGCAGGGGTCACATGAGTCAAGGTTACAGGAAATGCAAGGAATCCCAGATGCAGACTGCACACCCACTTTCCACCCTTTGTGGCAAATATAAATGAACTAAAATAGCAAACATCAGATCTACCAAGACTGGAATTTTCAGGGAGAGATTTTTCACTAGGTGCCTTTGATATGTTTTTACTGGATATGATTTCCCAAGTTCCTGGCCATACAAATCATGGCCCAGTTTGGTCCTTCTTACGGCGTCAGTCCTGCCCTGCTCACCATCCCCGCTGAGGAACAGTACACCGATGGTACGCGTCCTGCATCCAGAAGCAGAACTGCCTTCAGTTAAACAGTTGGAAGGACCCACCACTGGGCTTGGTGGAGAAGCGTTGCCAGTTCCTGGTCCTAGATCCTGGCGGAGGAGCCAGCCTCAGAGCCTCGTCATCACATGACTCCTAATAACAGGCCCAAGCATGTTCACAAACAGCAAGGAGGGCATCACTTAAATCTGAAAACCTGCCCAAATCAGCCAATAACACCAGTGCCTCTGCTTGGCTGTTTCTGCCCCACCACAGGGAAGGAAGGGGGCTCCAACATCAACTGAGTGAGCAACCAGCCTAGCTACTTCCCATTTTTGTAGCATGGAGTGCAATAATTTAATACCATGCCCATCACAGGTTATCACTGCACTGCAGGGGAAGCAAGAAAGTGGAAGCGGGGAAGTTTCCAGACCTCCTAACTGCAGAAAAGACCACAAAATAGTAAATCAGTGAAGTAATAAAAAAAATGTTTTTAAAATTCTGTCTCTTCTGTTTCCTCTAAGATGAGTGGGAGACACATCTTTGGGATTCTTCTTTTAAATAGATGTGAAAAGTTGAGCCCAGGATGCGTTTCTCAGGTGCCCCGAAGTCCTAAGCTCACTAACTAGAAACCCAAGGCCACGGCTCAACACTGACACATGAACCCCAGCCCTCCCGCTGTGACCCAGAAATGCAGAGTGCTCCGACCAGGGCACCTCACATTTTTCTAATGAAGTGGACGGCGTTTGGCCTTGGGGCAAGCTCCCGTCCTGAGGCAGCTCCCGGGCTCGGCGAGGCGGCAGTCCACAAATGCTCGCATGAATTCCAAGATCTCAGCAGGCATATGCAGGAAACATGAAGGGAATTATTTTTCTGTCTCAAGTTCAGGAATATTTTTCCTTGCCAAAACCAAAATTGTGGTGTTGCTGGGCAGGCTTATTTCCTCAAAACTGACAGGAAGCTGCTGGCTGCTCTGGAGAGTTAAGACTTGGACAACATGAAAGACATTCCCCAGACCCGACCCGAGCCTCAGCACACAGGTGCCCAAACATTGCCACCCGCCCAGCTTGGCCCAAGCGGGAGGGAACCGCCCCAGCCACACTGCCCTGAATGAAAGGGGCTCATGTCTGGAAGAGGCATGGCAGGGGCAAGTGACTGTCTCTGTGCCAATTATGCCCTTTCCTTCCCTCGCAATACCACCCCACAGCTAACTGCCAGAGCTCTTGGCTGCAGGTCCTATCAGATCAAACCCCTTAAAGTCCAAGACCTGGCCAAGATGGAGCAAGCTGCACACATCAGCTGCCCTCCGGAGAAACTACTCTCTTCCCTCCCCTAATAAAACTCACATGCCCCTGCTTCTGGTAACCTCTTAGCCTCCTCGGTGTTTGATCATTTTGCCAGATATCACCCCTACCCAATCCCCCACTGCCTAAGGACATGATGTCCCCTGCAAAGCATCTCTGACCACCTGGGGGGCAGCCCTGGGAGCCCGGAGAAGCAGGTCCCCGCTCCAGCCACTTGGTGCGCTCTTGACACTTCTCAGTTTACCCACTTATCAGATGGGGATATTAACATTCAGTTCTCAGGGCTGTGGTGTGGCTCAATGGAGACAGGATGAAAAACTTCCATCAACTGGTTCTTATTATTCAGTATCTAGGCATTTCCAAGAACTCAGTAATCACTCCTTTAGAAAGCAGTAATTCTGTCACAGGACTGCTCTGTGATCAGTCTTACTCCAACTGAGCATTCATATCTGACCCTTTGTGCCTACATACTGACTTTGGGCCGCCATCCAGAGCAAGTCAAGTAAGTCTGCACTGCCTGCCACAGAACAGCTGTCCACGCGGCCACAGACCTCCAGCAGATGTGCCCTGCTCTCCCCTAACACCTGAGCGTTTTTTCCACCAGTCCTTGGCTGCCAGGCCTCACGCCCCCTTCTCCACTGTTTGTCCTCTGCTTTATCTGCACCCCACACCTCAAGGCCCCAAAACAGAACTCCATACTGCAGGGCTCGGCTAGTACTGCCCACAGCCTGCACATACTTGTCACGACACAGTTTAAGATGATGCTGACACCAAAGCAGCTTAGCAGGCACCTAATGAGATGGGGATCTCTGTCTCTGGAACTCTGGAATTCCACTGGAATTCTCCACTCTTTCTCACGAAGCAGTGACGTCAAGGCCTTGGGCAGCTGCAGAGTCACAGGACTTCACACTTCACACCCAGGTCTGTATCAGCATTCTAACCTGCTGAGATACTTTTAAATCAGTCCACCCCATTTACAATGGATAAGCATTCTTAATACATCATCATTCACATCATATCCCACAACAAACCAAAACAAACACAGAGTAAGAAACACTGAGAACAGTGGCCCTTCTTCAGGGCTCACACAGTCCAGCACGGCAAGCGTAGCCACACAGGGCTACTAAATGTTTGCACGGCCCCTCGCCCAAAGTGCGATGTGCTGTAAAGGTCAATACATTCCCAATTTCAAAGACAGCATGTAAAATATCCCAATGAATTTTTTTATACTGATTACATGTTAAAATGATACTTTGGATATGTTTAGATATATTGGGTTAAATAAAACATACTATTAAAATTAACTTCTCCTATTCCTTTTCTTTTTTAGTGTGGGACCAGACAATGTTAATTTATGTGGCTTACATTATGTTTCTACAGGTCAGCAAACCTAGAACTCTCTCTCTAAGACAACACCATTCGTCCACACTCTTTCCAGGTAGTTAATCTGTGCTGAACTGTCCTCACTTATCTCCTAATCCACATTTCACAATTTGATCCATTAAAACATTCTAGGGAAGTTTTGTCAAATGCTCTCGCTCCAAATAGTCCATATATTTCATGCCACAGCAACCTTTTTGAAGATAGCTACACACCCTGACTCTTGGACCAACTTCTGCACCCAGCAGACACCCTATGATGAACACTTTGGCAGGTCAGCACCTCCCTTTTTCTATCCCATTCAGAGGTCAGTTTCTTTTGGCACTGATCCCCTGCCTGTACATTACAGCTTTTTTGAAACCGCCTTCCTCCTAAAGCCTGTACCTGGGCCCAGGAAGCCCATGTGCATTTTGTAACCAGCCTCTGGATTGGATCCTGGGTCAGCACCAGCCCAAAGAGAAACCACTGCGTAGCTGGGACCAGTCAGATGGTCTCACTCCTTCAGCAATTTGAACTAAGAGATCCAGAGCTGAAGCAGATGGTTCCGGGCCTGTAGTTGTACAGCCTTGAGGCACTGGAGACAGAAACAGTTACGGCTGAGCCAGAGCCATGGGCAAGCATGTACTGCAGTCTCTGAGAGATTCCACATAGAGCCTGGCCTTGCCGTTGGTTAAGACCCCTCTGTTACACACTGACACACCCTACGATTTTTGAGCCTTGGCGGCATGAGCTTCTGCACCTGTAATCAAATGAACTGTGACGAGAACACAGCTCCCTGTGTTCTTCCCCAGCACTGTTCCCTCTTCTCTTCCCCCTTCGACCCCGTGACGTCACATAGACTGACACTGGCACCTGCCGGAACCTGGGCTGCGGGGGTTGCGCGTTAACCATGCTTCCTTTCGCAAAACACCAGGACAGAAACCTCTGCCCGCCCCGGATTACTTTCGCTCAAGGAGGAGTTTATTGCAGGTTGGGTACACGTGTAGAAGGCAAAAGTCTAACAGTGAGAGTGAACTGCAGGGCCCACCAGGTTAGAAGACGAGCAGGTGAAACAAATACACTGATTATGTACAATTCTTAAAAAGAGCAGGGTGGTGGGAAAAAGGAAAAACTGCCAGCAGCCTTCCAGAAGGTTAGGAACAGAGGGGGTCTGGGGCACCTTCCTGTCCCGGTCCTGGCGGTGACGCCAGGGGTCCGGTCGCCCTGCTCTGTGGGTGGGCTTGCCGAGAAGGGCCCCCTGCTGCCAGGCGGCACAGCACGCACCGGGCCTTCGTTCAGAAGCCCAAGGGACCGCTTGATTAGCAATTCCTAACAAGTACGTGGGAAGAGCTGGGGGGGAAACACAGTATCTAAGGAAGAAAGGGACCTTGCCCTGTGGTCTGTGCACAAATAAATACCCAGTGTTGTCCTACGCGAGCCGCAACCCCAGCTGTACGGGGGCTGCTTCCTCGGGCCCCGAAAGCACTCGGCGGAGTCCGGAGTAGCGCCTGTGGCCAGGCCGTCCACTCAGCTCGCTTCCTCCGGCGCAGGGCAGCCCCGGGCCCGGTCAGCAGGTTGGCGCCACGCCCCGTCTCGCAGGACACCCAAAGGGGCAGGGGCGGCGCTGAGTTCTCCGTAAGAAAAGGTGGAGCACTCCAGGTCTCCTTGAAGAAAGGACAGGTCTCGGTTCATCCAAAGCATTTCTATAAAAATTCATTAAATGCTGGATAAAAGTTGCCCGTTCTCCTGATAACACCGTAAAATGTCCATTGAGTTGAAAATACAAATAATTTAAAACGAGCCACCCCGAGCGTCCGCCCCCGACACCGACAGGCCGCCCCAGGTCCAGGGGCGGCGCCCGGGCGGGACGCGAGGCCCAGCCTCCGGAGGGCGGCCGCGGGGGCTCTTCGGCGAGGGGTGCAGCGGCCCGGCCCGGCCGCAGCTCAGTCACGGTGGCGGCGCCAGGGCCCGGCCCGCTCGCGGCCCGCGGCGCACTCCGGGGGGGCGGGGGCGGGGGCCGGGGGAGGCGGCGGGGAGGCGGGCTCCGTCCCCGGCCAGCCGCCGTCCGGGCCGTGCTTGCCGCAGAAGATCTGCCCCTCCTTATCTAGAGCCGTGTTCTGGGGAGAAAGCGGGGAGACGGCAGGTTAGCCAGGCTGGGCTGCGTCCCGGCGGGCACCACCGGGGTGACAACGGGGCATGCAGGGACTCGGAACAGAGGAGGAGGAATAACATCCGAAGGGAAAAGCAATGGCTTCAGGTACCCGCCCCGGGGGGTGCCGCCCTCGGCCTCTGCTCCTGCGCTCGCAGGGCACCTGCTGTCCTGGACGGCAGCCAGAGGCCACCCTTTTGTGACTCTGAGCTGCACCCAAGTTCTGTGTACCTCTTCCCATGCCCAGATCTTGAGCCCAAATGAATCCTGGGACAATAGCCAAATCCTACAAGAACGCTAGGGCTTTAACATAACTTTTCTAAAGCAAGTTCTCCATCAAAGATACATGTCATATACATAAGTAACACTGTATAACCTAAGTGGCTATAGAACCTATAAAAGCCTGATGGTGCAGTATTACCCATTTTTAGATCCTCCATGATCTCGGGACCTGCTCTTCTCTCTTTGGGAAGTTTTATCTTGTCACACCCCCAAGGTTTTAATCTGTTCTACCCCTCAGGGTACAGAAACAGCCACAAACGCGAGGACACATCGCCTTGCCTTCTGATCCCAGATCGGGAGGTGTGACCTCACTTTTCTCCTCCTTGGACCATTTGAATACTTCTTGCTGTCCAGTAGCCAGCTGCCACCCCACTTTTCCTATACGGGGGAGAACTTTCAGTTCTCAGGGACCTTTTAAGCTAAAAGGCACAAGGACCAGGAAGTATTTTGTAATCTGGGGGTGGGGAATGCACTAAGGTTATTTCAGTACTGACTTAAAAAGACATTCTGGAGAAAATATGAATGAACACCTGGGCTTCTAAGTGGACCTGTGTGGCTGCCTTCTGGACACTTGGTGTCAGAAGTAAAATAGGTGTCCTCTCCAGGTCCTTCCAAGCTCAAGCTGAACATTCAGTAACTTCCAAGGACAATTTCAATAGCCTGGAGAAGACGTAACTATGGAAAAGCCAAATCAGAACTTAGTATTGCTCTTTCAAAAGCTTCCAAGCTCCTACCAGGAGAGGAGGCCAAGCCACCCCTCAGTGCAAACACTGAAAACAAAGAGAGGCAGCATTCACCACAACTTTCTACCACAAAATTCCTCCTGGGTGGAAGAAAACAGTTGCCCTGTTATTTCTCCTTCTCTCTTCCCATCAAGAGACCATGTATGTGTGCAGCAGGACAAAGCGGTGCGGGGCCGTTAGTACATACCATTGCCTTGGACCTAGCCAGAGGGAAGCAATGCAGGCAGCAAGAGAGGCAGGAAAACGGGGGAGAGAAGCAGGGACAGAAACTAGACTTACTTTAAACAGAAGCAACAGGATCGAAACAGTTTTATCTATTTAAGCCCAAACCATTCCCCAATTTCCCCCTGAAGGAAGTGTTATTCCCCTGAGCCGGAAAAGCACTCTATTTAAATTCATCCTTTCTCAGGTAAGGACAAGATGCAGCGTGAACGAGGTTTCTTATACTTCCCTTCGCTGCCACAAGATGGCCTCTTCCGGTCCCTGACGCTGGATGAGCCCCATGGGATAAATCCCAAGCCGCCTGGCAAGCGCACCGTCCTCACTTACGTATGCTACCGGCAAGTCAAAGAAAATGCAGGTGCTATGCAAAACCTAACGCCTGTCTTACCCAGCACAGTCTCTTCTTTTCTCCCAAATCTAGCTGACTTTACATTGTTTTTGATAAAAATGCATCTTTGAAAATGCAGTTGGAGAAATAGAACAAAAACCATTACAAAGGTACATATCCTATGCTGTCATTCATACACAAGATGTTTTTTCACCTAAGAGGAAAAACAGCATTCAGCAGGAGAACTGTTGGAGGCCCTTCTGTGTGCTCGCCAGGACCGATCTGAGAGGGGCAGTGTGGCAAGGTGGGACACTTTAAGATAATGTTTTCTGAGGGTGTGCTTTGCGGGCCAAAAAGGATGTCAGGAGGTACAGAAGACCTGCACTGATAGGAAGCCAGGTGCTGGACGCTGGTGTCGGAAGTCTGAGACAAGCATGCAGATGTAAGAGGGGCTGAGAATTATTAGAAGTTGCTCTGGTTAAACACAGCATGTTGAATACCCGAATTCTGCTTCAGGATTCCCCATAGGCTCAGCTGGGTAAAGAGGGAAACTGAAGTGTCTCTCAAACTGTCAAATCAAACTGTCAAATAAAATGCAGACAATAGCATCAACTTTACTTTCTTTCACCATTATTTACATTCCTGTCCTATAATTTTCTCATCGGAGCCTCAGGGACCAACTCTGGGGGGCTAACACTAGGGGTAACAGTGGGTACTAAGGCTCTGTCTGTAAGGTATGCAACAGCTGTCTGATGATTCAACCCCAGAACGTTTAAACACTATTCCCACTACTATTTGTATCTGAAAAACAAACCATCTTAGCCTCACCTAGTCCAGTTATGAGAATATGTGAATACCAGGGAAAGTCATTTCTGGTTAATTATTTGTAATATAAAGAAAACCTTTAAAACTGTTCCCAAGAGCAGGACACAGAGACACACAGGAATGGTGAGGACGATGAGGATGACAACACGGAAGCACTGCAAGCTGTCCCTACACAACCCCACCCGGGGCAGGTCCTCAGGCTGGTGACAATGAGCACAACAGCCCCACGGGGACCTTCTCGACAACTACTTTTGGGAACAAGCCAGAATTCACAGGCCAGCTTTTTGGCCATTGAGAATTGGTACCTCCAGGGACAAGCTTTACTGATTTCTCCTGTAGGCACTGAATGGGATAATGTCACTCAGCAGTTCCTCAGAGCTAACAACCTGCAGAGCTGGGTAGGGAACATGTGGTTAGGCTAGACCCTGCCAACACACCCTAAATGACAACTGAACACACGCATAAACACACAACTTTTACAACTGCCGTTGGAATTACAAATATATAAAGGGTTTTGCATTCACACAAACATCCAGGTAAAGCTCAGGGGTTTGAAATTTGACTGCTGAATTCCTTCACCAGCAAATGGAAGCCATACTCTAAGGTTCTGTCTGAAGAGGGTGGAATGTCATGGTCTATAGCAGAGCCTGTGCTGGGCCATGAGGGAGAAGGGCCGGATCACTCCAGAACCTTGGTGAGCCATAGGCTCTGAGCCAGGACTCCTATCCGGGCCAAGCTGACGGGCGGCCAGGCAACGGCAAAGCTCTCGTAAGCCCTGGGCACAGCCCCGTAGACGTCACTCCTCTAGGAGACTGCTGATTTCACACAGGATTATTAAGTTTTGATCCTAACAAATCATTCTTCTTAAGGTTTTTCATGACATATCGAGTGTGCCAATGTTTAATGTTCTTATTTTTGTACATTTTGCCAGAAGCTGCCCTGCAGTGTAAACATGCAGCCCAGCTGCACTCCCCTCAGCCCATCTTGAGTGCTTGCTCTCATAAGTGAATCACTTGAAAACGTTCTGGTGCTATTGACTTAATCAAGATAGTTCTCTGCAAAGTGTTGAAGCTGTAGTTCTGTGACAACTCTGACTTTCCCAGGCTTTTGGCAGCACAGAGCTAAAATGCCAGGAAAACTACAGCTCCAGAGGCCTTCCCAGCACTCTGGCACACAGTGTCCCAGGGTCCTGCAGCGCATCAGAAGACGCAGGCTGTGAGCTCAGGCTTTGTCTGGAAGGGAAGAAGGGCAGAGAGCATGCCTTCCAGCAGGGGAGTAAGGGCGTCGCCAGGACGTCCGCAGGGCTGCCAACACTGCAGCCTCCCCTGGGGGAGGGAGGCCCCCAGACTAGAGGTGCTGAGGTGGCGGGTGCTCAGCAAATCCACCACAGCACTCCAGGGACGGGGGGCATGCAGGGAGTGTCCCTCAGCTTCTCTCTGGACCCCCATCTTCTTAGCGAGGGTTCCTACACCACAATGTGCCATCATGTAAGAGACTGTTCTTCTAGTTGGGCAGGAAGTAAGTCAAGCCTTTCCAGAGGGTGAGGGGCTCGTCCTGCAGAGCAACGGAGCTGTGGACTGTCCCCAGCTGTCAGGCTCCCCGGGCGCTTGGGAAACCCTCTCCAGAAGAGAAAGCAGAGACGGGAACAGAAGCAGCTGCCCAGGAGGGTGCTGAGCCCAGGAGAAGAGGCCAGGGGCTCCCTGGTGCCTGGGTCCATCAGCCTGGCCTTGCTGGTACCTGCAGAGGCCCCGGCCCAAGGCCTGGGAGTCTGCCGGGTGCGGGCGCTTCCCATGCCAAGCTACTCTTGCAGTGGAAAGAGAAGCCGGGAGGGTCCCCACCTCCCTGAGAGGGAAGCTTGTGGCTATTTACTCCAAAAGATTCAGTGCTGGCTGCGTGAGGCCAGACACGCAGCTTTCCAGGACAGCCCCATCTCCTACTCACCATGATCACAGAGACCCCGGTGGTGGTGCTGTTCTGTTTGGGGAGCGCATTATTAAAGTGCTGTTTTAGTTTACCTGTTACTTCAGCTTGCATATTATTCTCCTGGGAGGCATCATCCTACAGAAAAGAAAATCAAATACAATGGTTTTTGATCTTCATATCGAAGTGGTCTTTTCTTTAAGTCGCATCCCCACTCTTCCTAAATGGGCCCATAGCCACAAGGTTAGGGGAACAATGGCCTTTTAAAAATGATTACGGGTATTCAGCAGTCCCATGCCCTCCGAAAGACCCCGTCCACTGGGCTCCTTAGGCCGGTCTAGGCCAGGCCAGGGAGAGAGCACAGGGTTCCGGAGGCTCACAGGGGGACATTCTTCAGGCATCTGAGACCCTTCCCCAGCACACAAATGCCACACAATTTAGTACAGATCCCTCCCATGGAAACATCAAAATTAATGAACAGTTGATATTTTAATCAAGAATTCAGTTAGTTGTCAGTCTTTATTGATCATAAAGAAATGTGGCATCTAAGGTACTTGGTCCAAGAGCCCAGTCCCATCACAGGGTCCAGAGAGGCTGAACCCGGATGTTGGGATGTGTGGACAGTGGAGGTGGTGGAGGCATACAGGGCCCTACCCCAGGCCAGCCCTAGTCCCGGGCTATGTACACCAACTGCAGTCCTGCAGCCCTGGGAGTGAGGGACAGGCAAACCCTCCCACCACTGCCATCTAGTGGGTGGTGCGCACCCTAAACCAGAGGCTCTGCCTCAACGCAGCGGGCCTGTGGCCAGCATCCCACTCCCTCTGCCTGGAAGGCCTGGCCTCAGCCTCAGGACCCACAGTAGCAGGTCTCCATGCAGACTCAGAGATCAGGGTCTGAAACATGCTCATCTCTGGGCAAATCCTGAAGACTCCTCCCAAACCCAAGAACCGCAGAAGGCGAAGCTCCTGAGAGAGCGAGTGCGCCACCCACGTCACTCCCAGGGCGGGAGCAAACCCTCGGGGTCCTGGCACCTACTGCTTTTCCCAAAGAGCTGCCTTCGTGCTGCTGGCTCAGGACAGAAGACAGACATTTAATCTGCCGTAGTAGCTGGGTGTGGAGCTTTGTGTCCACAAAAGCCACAGTAAGAAAGTCTGCTGTCGGCCACAGACACACAGATGCTGCTCGGCCCTGGGAGAGTGGGTACTTACTGACACCCAGGGGTGAGTCAGGATTTGTCCTGCAGTATACCGGGCTTCAACGTTTACCTGAAGCATTTGGCTGATTAATTCCTGAGAAGAAAGAAGGAGACCATAAAGGAGATACAGGGGGCGATTCCAGCACAAACAAAAATCGGGGTTTGCGCCAAGTACCTCAAAGAACAGCGAGCACAGCTGCTCAGCCATCTGAACTTAAAAGCTATTACCACCTACACTCCTTGTGCCTACTGGGCAATTACACAGACACAGCTGCCTCCCATCAGCAGCAGTGAGAGAACAAGAGGTCTCTCCTGAGTCGACATTAAACCAAGATGTTCTCTCCTAAGAGTCCTGGTTCTCATCACCATGCCACAGTGTGAAACCACAGTACTGTTCCTTCTGGCAATCCAGTTCATCTCAGGAGGCCACTCCCCTATCCTGACGGGTGTTCAATACATATTTCTTGAATAAATGAAAGAGCAAATGTTTAGGGCTTAGAGGAGCACAGGAGGAGGGTTGAGGCAAACTGGGAACACAGCCAGTTCTGCTTCCAGAGTTTGGTTGTTTCAGGGACTACGCTACGGAATGGATGTAAAGAAGAACCATATGTTAAAGTCAAGACAGACCTGGAGCTCCATATGAAGAGCTGCAATGGCCTCACACAACAGGCGAGGACACCTCGACAGGATGCGACCCACAGAAAGAAGCCTAGATGGGTACCTTTGCCGAGTCAGTGATGTTATCCCAGTAGGGAGCTGGAAACTCCAGCTTTCCGGCCAATATCTGGTCGAAGAGATCTTCCTGGAGATTATTCTCGCTGAGTCAGTGACAAAGAAATGCAAGGAGAGTCAAAGTCACGATACAGGTTTTCAACAAATGCCATGGGAGAGCGGGGAGAAGGGGCTGGCCTCGCTGGCCCGGGCATTTCATGTCACAGCTATGGACCTCAACTACGTTTGTGATGACACATTTTCCCTTTTAGGCAATGTTCTAAAGAACATTTCCATTGGCCTGGGAATAGACAGACAGGAGACCGAACTCAAGGAATCTGTTTAGTGGGTAGAGTTTCAGTGGAGAAGACAGAGTAGTTCTAGAGAAGGATGGTGGTGATGTTTGCAGAGCGCTGTGAATGCACTCAGGGCCACTGACCGGCACATTTAAAAAGCATTAAAGTGGTCATTTTATGTTATGTATATTTTGCTTTTTTTTTCTTAATTACACCTATTTCTTTTAATTCGTTATCATCTACCAGGCCTAGAAGAGAGAGAGAAAAAAAGAAAGGACAATAAAAAAAGCACTCAAGATAAAATGGAATCCACAAATAACGTAAATCCTCATTTCAGAAGAAACATTCTCGGCAGCGGCCCTCACCTCAGCTCTCATGGCAAAGAGAGAGGGAAACGTGGACCTGAGTCGGCCTCTCCCTTCCTACGTGCCCAGTAAGACAGCCGGAGATCAGTGGGACAGTCAACACATACGGAGTTCAGAGTCTGGATACAACAGTCACGGCATAAGTAGCTCCCCACTAGGACTTGACTTTCATTTAAGATCAGAGAGAAAGAGCCCATCCGAGGACACCAACCAGAACCGCACAGGTGCCTGGCAAACCCACCTGCGGGCCCCGCTCCCCAGAGACTTGTGGGTTCGGGGCCACGGAGTCCCCCTCCCTTGCTGAGTGCATCAGTGGCGAGAGTGGGAGCAAAGCCTAGCTTTCTAGGCTGTTACCAAGCCCTAGTGGAAGTTCAGTCTGAGCCGGCAAGTGTGCAGCCCTTCTCTTGGGGTTCCCAGCAGGACCCCTGCAGCCCACTGCTCAGGGCGCTCACATGGGACCACCCAGCCCTCCGCATGGGAGCCTGCTCATGCCAGCAGGCCTCGCAGAGTGGCAAGGTTGCGTGGGGTGTGCACAGAAACAGATCACGGAGGGCAGTGTCTGGAGTCAAATCCCGGGGCTGTGTGGTGATGTCGCTGCCTCAGTCCTGTTCTGTAAGAAGAGCAGGCGTTTCTGAGCTCGGTGAACATCCGTAACACCTGACCAAGCCCAGCTGAACCGACATCTGCTGGTCCAGGAGGCCTGCATGAGGAAGCACGCTGGGCAGCAGACGTCAGGCCAGATAACTGGGCGGGCTAAGGGCTCTCCGCAGCTCTCCCGAGGAGCGCTGTTCTCGGGGTGTGCACAACTCTTCCTTTCTAGCTGTCTAAATGTTTTCTTTCCTTTTCACTGTTCTTTCCTAGCTCTCTGAACTCAGCTCGACTCTCCTTCAGAACGGGTGAAGGACACGCACAAGAACAACAGGGAGATCATACGGAAACTTTTAGACCAGAGGACCTCAGGAGGCAATGTCGAAGATACGAAAGTCTACCTGTTCCCACAACCTTACCATCCCTCTCTGTTACCTGACTCATCTCCTTTTTATTTTTATTTTTTTCTGGTATTTCAAATAGCATATATTTTGTTAATTATATATGGCTTTTATTTTGTTAACAAAGAGCTAAAAAGTTGGAAGTGTGTCTGCAGCGGCCATTTACATTCCTGGCAAAATAGCTCAAGTCAACAAACAAAACCCTTGGGTGGCTCAGCAATCAGAATGCCCCCCAAAGGATCTGTGCTGGGAACAGCAAGAGCCTGGAGAGTTTCGGGGATTCCCCTCATCAGAACGGAAAGCTAAAGATAATGTACTCTTCTAACTAGTCACATAATAAAGGCCACTCTGATTAAATCGAGGCTGGACTTATTAATACATTTATACAATACGATCTGGCTGTGATGCTTTGGGGCACTTTCAAATCCTACAACAACTTAGTCCCTGTATCTGGGCGCTGTAAGTCTAAACATGGCCACCAATAAAATCCTTGAAAACAACAAAAGACTTTGCACACAAACTCTCTTTAATTCCAAATTGTTACAGGTCAGACCCAGTAATCTGAAAATGTTGTAAGTGGTTTCACATGTGCTGTTCAAAGATTTCATTTATGGGGGCAGTGTGTGTGTGTTTAAGGGAAACATCAAAATTCTCAGTACAATCATGCAAATACTACTTTTTGTCAGTGGCTTAAAGAACAGGCTTATTACGTAATAACTAAACTTTTGGTTGCCTCTGAAAAATGAATATCCTTCTTAGTACCAATAAATCTAGTATTGAAAAGACTGGAAGAATTCATAATAAGCAAAGGCTACAGTCTGAAAGAAGAAAGAAAAAGAAATGCCAGAGTTAAAGAAGCTGAAACTGTGAATTCCAAGTGACAATTGTAATTTAAAAGCTTTAGGTTAAAATCATCTTTTATGTAAAACAAAACAAAAATTTGAAGTACCTGTTTGAAGGATTTCTGTTTTAGACACAAATTTATGTAGATAATCTATTTTATACCATAGTCTTTTATTATTATATAAGGTACAACTTCCATAATTTGCCTCATATATTTTTATATTATAGGAGGTTATAAAATCTTTCCAAAATATCTTTATATGCTATACAGATGCTTCTGGAACTAGCCTTTAACGTTACAGATTCTCTTTCATCAAATGATATGAAAGAGAGAAAGCATTTTCATAAATTTTAAAAGAAAGTTATCTGAACTTGTAGGACTAGATTCTGACCAACATATAAGGCAGCAGCTTTCAGAATATAGTTTTACTGCTCTTGATTTGCGAGACTGATCCCCATTTCCCACAAAGAAGCTGCTGTCCCCTGAGTAACTATCATGATACTGTTCAATCTGCTTCACTTTTTTTAAAAAGTAAAAAACCAAAGTCAAAGAAAAAACTCCCAGTCTGCACCGGCAAGTGGAAACACTAGAGGGCGCTGTGAGCGCACATTCCTCTGCAACTGATCCCCGATACCCTTTCCATCTGATCCCAACCTGGGTTAACCAGGAAGGGGAACTCTGCAGTCACTGGCCCCAGGATCACATGTTATGAAAACACTCTGCACCTGACTAGTTCCCAAAACAGGTCATCACTGTGAGCAGCCAGGGCACAGTAGGATAAGAAAAGTGGCTGTAAATTATTTCCCTTCCTCTATCTATGCAAATTTGTTCATCTTGCCCCCATCCACTTGAGGCTTAGCTATTTGAGTTCAGTTGGTCAGTGGGACATCATTCGGCAAAGGTGAGGCAGCAGGGACTTAGGAAGTGCTTGGGGAGAGGAACCTTTCCTCTGGCTGCTTTTAGGAATCCTATGTCCACCATCATGAAACCCAGGCTAGCCCATTGGATGCAGAAAGGGACATGGCTAAGTCATACCTGTTGTCCCAGATGACGCTAAGCCAACCACCAGGCCTGTGAGTAAGGCCACACTGGACCTTCAAGCCCCCAGTTAGCCTGCCCAGATAGAAGACCTGCTCAACAGATCCCCAGGATTGACTGACAGCCCTAACTTGTGGGATAGTTTGTTATTCAAGAGCTTACTGATATGTGCAGTAAGCCTACATGTGTGTCATGCACCTAGACAATGCTCTTGATGGGAAAGCATGATGTTGACGGCCGGATGGAAACAGCTTTCACACCTACAGGAACTTGGCCTATGCCACAGGGACAAGGTCCCGCTCAAATGCTGTGTCTTTCATTAGACCTCTGTGATCTCCAGCCCTCCACCGAGCATGCCCCCATGCTTGCTTTATTCTTCATAATCAATATCTTATGACATGGGTCTTTGTACAATAAGGCTCTCAAAAGTTGAGATTATCATCTCTGTATCACCCTTGTGTTTACTGTAATGTCAGTAAAAAAAAAAAAAAGTTGTTCCACTCAATTGGAAATTGATCATTTACAAGATAAACCTTTGAATATTTTTGTATGTTTGAGAGCTTTCATAATAAAATTTGGGGGCAGGAATGTGTGTGAAATAAACCTGTATTTCACTTTCTGACCTAATGCTATGCTGTAAGTACCATGACCTCAGAAAATACACTTTGTTCACCATTTGATCTCCAGTACTTAAAACAGTGCCTGGTGCATAGTAGCTTCTCAACAAATAGTTGTACAATGGACAAAAGGAGGGATTACAATTAAGAGAGAGCTCAACAAAACTCAAAAGAAAATCAAACATGCATCATCATTACATGAACTTCAGCTTCAAAGTTGTTCATTTGCTCCAAAGAGGGAGATGGAACTGATCTAAAGAGGCATCATGGCAGAAGCCCCACACCCACCCTGTGTCCACAAACTGCTGGGGAACGAGTGTGCCCTGAGCCCTCCATCACACCCCCCAGCCCCCAGGTGTGGCCACCTCTGTTACCAGCAGGTGAGGCGCGAGGTTATCAATAGTCAACCTGTTTGCTCCCAGGCCTATTACACAGAAAACATTTGTAATCCTACTTCGTCAGATATTATGATAACAGATAAAATGAATTTAACCAGAAAGAGTTCCCTTTTTCTAGGGCAACTAGGTTGAATGCTTTGGAAAGTGAGTTGTTAAAAAAACTGCTGTAGAATTAAGTAGGGGAGACAACTATTAAGAACTGGAGAAAGGATTACCTAGAAAGCTGATTGTTTCACAAGGATCTTTAAACCTCACTCCCCTTGAAAAAGACTGAAAAGTAGAAATTGTAGACACTGGTCTATGGGTATATTTTACAGAAGAGTGGCCACGGGTAACTCAGAGGGCCATTTACAAAGCAAAGACCTTGGCCTCACATCTAAAGTGTGGTTAAGAAATATATTATAGGTCGTGAATTTAGACAAAAAGTGAGAGGTCTGTTTATATAATTTTTAACTGACATTTTTATTGGCCAGTCTCTGGTCCTGACTGCCAGGAGTAAAATGTCTTGTGTACTTCCTAATCAAAGGGAGAGAGTTTACACTGAAATGTTGTCATTCAAAGATCCACTGACCTTCGGAATGGTGGGAATCCACAGAGAAGTATGTACGTGATCACTCCTGCTGCCCAAATGTCCACCTTCAGACCATAGCTGGAAAGACAAAGCGGTGGGAGGGGGACGTGGTGACATCACTCCCAGGAGCCCTCCACATCACTGTAGCACTTGCCTTTGTTTATCAGGAGAAAGGGTCCTTCAAGTGTCAAACTGCTTATTTCATATAGGGGAATTAATTGCCCTTTAGACAAAGGCATCTCCTCCTCTCCCAGCCTCATCGCAAGCTTAGGGACTATTTCTGCACTCCCAAGACCAGCGCTGGGACAAAAGGCCAGGCCTAGGACTCTTGGACCTAGAAGCCCAAACTCGAGTTTCTGAGATCAAAGCTACAGTGGTGGGAGTTCCTCTGCCCTCCTTCCCCAGAGGCACGTGAACATACAGTAACAGTAGCACCCAAATACACCTTTTCTCACCAAAGTAAAGCCCAACAAACCACCAGGAGTCTTACCCTGTTTCTGCAATGATTTCTGGAGCCACATAAGTGGGGGTGCCACAGACTGTATACAAAGGGCCCTCTACCACAGTGGCCAGCCCAAAGTCTCCCAGCTTCAAAGACTTGGTCCCATCGGGGTATTCACACACCTGGAACAGAAAACAGCTGGTCATCGGTTGTTTTTTTCTCAATGATTCCAAGAGGGCCTTTGGAAGTAGGTAGAAACAACATAAATACGTTGACCAATAAACTCAAAAGAAATCTTCTCTTGTGATATTAAAACCATGAATAATCCTTGATGCTTTAAATTTCTTATTTTTCTCTTCAGACTTTGCATGATTGTGTGAAATTTGAAAAAGACAGTACTTTCCATCTTTGCAAAAAGTTCCTTATCTAAGGGTATAATGACCATGTGCACGTGCTTACACAGCAGGCAGGGGTGCAGGTGGCTGCTTACATGATGTGGCTTGAGAAGCCTCGAAGCAGGAAACTGACCTTTACTGCATGCTTACTGTGTGTGAGGAACTTCAGACCTCAGAAATGGTATTCAGTGTCCACCAGAGCTCTAGATGTTTTCCAAGACTTGCATGTTTAGTTTAGAAAATAAAACTAGGACTTGTTCTCTCTGGACAGTCAATGATGAGTATAAATATTATGTAGGGGAAAACCTTGGAAGCTTAGAAAGAAAATGAACTTTGGGATCAGACAGGCTGAACTTACACAACCAGCCACTCCAGTCCTTTTCTGGCTGTTTGGCCTTGAGAGTCACTCACCCTCTCTGAGCATGTTTCCTCACCTAGGAGATGGCATGGTACTATGCCCTGCCCAGTGGAGCTGGTGTGGAGATGAAGTAAGACCAGGCTCAGATCAGGGCACCAGGAATGTTCCCTCCCTTCCCTGGAAGGGCTGGCTGATTAGATCCAAGAACCATCGTACTGGAAAAGGTGCAGCAAAGCTGGTGAAGATGTGAATTGTCTTTGCTTAAATTCAAGCAATCTTTCTAGAAAGCATTTCAACAATATGTAAATTTCTTCATATCATTTATAACCTTTGATCCAGTAAATCTAAGAACTGACCCTAAGGGAACAGAGACGGACCTAAAGGTTATACACAAAGACGCCAATCTTAGAATTTATCCATGTTTTTAAAAACTGGAAGTAACACAAGTGGCTAACAAGGCAATGACTTCATAAATCATGGTAGATCCCTATGAGGAATATTATACAGTCACTAATAAGCACATTTTAAGTAAATATTAATAATACAGAAAATATTCACTACATTGCATTAAATTAAAAAGGAATATTTGAAATTACACATACAACATAATATACCAAAACGTTAAGTTTGTCTCTAGATGATATATTTGAGGGTTGTTTTAACTTTCTTTATACTTTTCAGTGGTTTCCAAAATGTTTATGATGAACATGTATTGATTGGTTCTATAATTAGGAAAATATTAATTTTACATATAAGCAAACTTTCCTTATGGGATAAAAGTCTGAAAGTTACATCCTAAATGGATGGTGTGGGAAGCCATCGTGTATAAGCGCATAATTTAGATTTGACTGTGTGACCTTTAACATGCTAATCTATTCATCTCTTGGATGCCCATTTTGAAAGCACTGAATTTCAGAGGAGAATAACTACAGAGACCTAATCTTATGTAATATCTTTATTTTTATATTTTAAACATATTTAGTTTGCTTTTCCCCATATTTTACTAAGAACTGAGCCAGATTTTCACCTAAACCATTACTTAATAGAGGTGAAAAATTTAGAAAATTATGTTTTTTCAAGATAAGCGTTAGCAACGTCATCCATTAGTCTGACACTTAATGAGGGGGAGTGATTTATATCGTCCTCAATCCTCAATAAAAAACATCAAGAACCTTAGGGCTCCCCCATGTCAATGATCCCCAGTCTTTTCAGGCATTTAAAAAGGATGAGACAGAAATACCTTTGTTACCTGCAATGGCCTCATCAGTTTAAGAGTATTTCTCCCTTAGTATTTTAATAAGTGCCTCTATGTTTACGTACTGAATACACATACATACCCAGCCCACATCTTTATGACTTTCAAGTTCCACAGGAGTAATGGCAAGGCTTTTGAATCCCTCACAATTATTTATCATTCTGAGTCAGCCCACAATGCAGCAGAGGCATATTCAAAACTTCTAATGATCTAGCTAGCCTAAAGCAACAGAAACCAGGTCCTTAGTCATGCCTGGGTCTTAGGATGACTTTCCATCCATTATGCTTAATGTAAACATTAATGAGAACAATCCAATATAGAGGACTACAGCTAGAATTTATGATGCATTTACTGAAACCCAGACTTTAGGAAAAAATTCCCTAAGTAACTGCAGTGACAAGAACATTATAAGCAACATTATAATTCCAAATGCCTGTATCATGAGTTTAAAAAAACTTTATTAATGCCATTATCTTGTTTTTGCAACTTTAAAATCTACTCAATAGGTATGTTTCTGTTTGAAAAATTGCATTTATTTTAGACATTCAATTTAGCGATGCCTAATGGTATTTAAGAGTTGCTGTTAGATACTCAGAGGTCCCAGAAGTCCCGCTTTTCACACCCCCTGTAAGGAATTCTGAGTCAGATGCTGGAGCGTAAATACAAGGAGACTGAGCAGTCCACAATCACCGAATTATGTCTGGGCAAGTGGTACTCCTTGGCTAAACATCAAAAGGAAAGTGTCAGAAGGGGTAGACAAGTCTGAAATAATAATAGTGTATCTGATTCATCTCTCCCCGATGCAAGACACAGAGACGAATATGTGAAAAATAATACGAGTAAATTTCAAATCTTAGCTGGAGACTCTCTTCAAAGCAAGAAATACACACACACACACACACACACACACACACACATATATATAAGTCTACAGATATACAGAGAGGTTTATGACACATTGAGGACATGCTTTTGAGAGCCCGACCCTGACACACACACGGCATTGCTGCAGGAGCCTGGTATTCCCCCAGAGGTGAATACGCGCCTAGGGACTCCAAAGGCCTTCTGTTCCGCTCAGTTCTCCCAGCAACTGACACCCTCACAGGACATGGGAGATTTCAGTATTCTCCCAAACGTTATCGCACTGGACTTCTACAGTCACCCCACTGGGCAATTAGGAAGAGAATTATTATTGCCATGTTTTAGATGAGGACACTGAACAGAGAACTCAAGCTGCTAGGAGGTGTCCGGGGAAGGAGGGGCTTCCCACTGGTACCGTCACATCCCACTGCACCCTCCCCGGGCGGCCTCTGTGTCCAAAAGCGAGTTGGCCTGGCAGAACCCCTGGCTGCAGCTCACACCCACACACGGATTCTGAGTGGAATAAACAATCACAGCTGTGAGAACTCCAGCCCTGGGTGTTCAAATGCCCCACCACAAGCTGAGAGAGGCACTGTCAAAAAGCTGCTCTCAGAATGCAAAAATAAAAAATGTGAGGAACACGGACCCCACTTACAAAGCGAATGCTGCATGCTTTCTAAATAAAATGTCAGCATAATGACTTAGAAGGACTTCAAATATGAGAAACCAACCCTCTTCTCTCCCCTGTCCCCAGAACCCCTGGAAAAGCGGAATTTATCACTGGCCTCTCACAGTTAAGTCTGACGGGGCACCGCCAGGCTGTAACTCACAGCACTAACGGCCACCCCTGTGCTCCTTGACACGGCGGCCCATACATCTCTGCTGGCAGGGTTTTAAATTATGACGCTGCTACCAGAGAAGGGGATGCAAATCAGAGGTCTGAATGCTCCGGTGTTTAAAAACTGAATTCATTTCTAGGGCAGGAAGAGGCTGAAAGTCACTCTGTATATTTACTTTTAGTGTCTCAACAGCTCTTTCTCTTCCTTCGCCAGTGCCAGCCTGCGGACGAGCTTCACAATCTGCTGAGTGGTCTAGTTAGGTTTTCAACAACAGACACATATTTTACTTAGATGTGCACAGCTACGGATTTCCAAAGCCTGACCCCATGGCCCTTTGGTGTCACACATTAGCCTCATCCAGACAACAGTTTAGTCAGCTTCGTCCTTCTCACAATGCACAAGGGGGATGGTGCAAGCCTTGGAGGAGAGGCGAACCCTCATCTCAGGATGGTTAGACTAGATAAGGAACTTGGCCCCAGCTTCCTGCTTACATCCTGAGGCACGTAGTGTTGGAAACATCCGTCCCCATTACATTATCTTCTTTTGACGTAAGCCATGAAGAAAGGATGAGGGATCAGATTTTGAGGTTTTAGGTATATTAAGAAACTATGAGTGGAAAAAAGAAATGGGAGGTGAGAGTGGAATCCATGAGCCAGGAAATGGACACTCACTGGTTCCCAGCAAAGTTCACCCAGGCCTCAGTACCTTCCTAGCAGGGCCTGAACAATGAGAGGTGAAGTGCGGGCCGGCTCCATGGGGACCAGGGGTTCTTACAGACCTGTGGCTCCCAACCTCCTGAGAACATCAGTAACTACAGTCACCAGGGGAGGGCAGGCCATGCCCAGCAGGAAGAAATCAAGGGGCATCCTCGTTAACGCCATGGCATTTGTATGTGGCTGCAGCCAGGGAAACCCTGTTGCCTTTGCTTGGGAAGCCCCCAGCCAAACTCAGACGGCGCAGGCGTCGGCCTGACAGACACAAGGTCATCAGGGCTGGGAGGCCTGTCTCAAGGAGAGACCACCACAGCCTCACTTCTATCCTGAGGCCCAGCTTACAGTCCGTCTCCATTCTTCCCTAGAGCTCATAAAACCTACTCCATAGTACATCTTGCTTTACAGAGCAGGGATATTTATTTTCTGTATAAGCATATACAGAAATCAAACAATTTTCTCAATGCAGAAGACGGTAAGAAAAAATCCCCAAAAACCTCACATATATTTCAACTGACACTCAGAAATCCTCAAGTGGTATCACCAAAAAGGAGAATTGGATACTCTGGATTAGCAGAAAGCCCCGTGGATGGCCTCAAAGCCTAGTCACCGATGCATATTCCTTACAACGGTTATTCACGGAGCACAATGCAAGGCAGGTTATAAAGACCCATGTGCCAGGGCCTGCTGCTGGCCGGCTCAGTGACGGTCAACGGTCAGTCGCCATTCACTCCACATCCTCTGTGTGCTAACTGGCATTGTCCAAGGCACTGGGGATATGATGATGATTGACATGCAAACCTTGCCCCTGAAGGTACCGAGAGAAGGAGTGAATGGTAAAATCCCCACACCGTGGCAGGAGCAGCAGAGCCTAGAGGTGGTCACCACCGACCTTGCCCCGGGAGTCTGGGTTGATGTCACAGAAGACATGCCTTATGCTCTGTGTCTTACAAGATGAATGTGTTTGCCACATTGATGGGAAAGGCATTGCGAAGAGAGACCTATATGGCTATAAGCAATGAGGTGTGATGTTGTTGATCAAGTCATAACTAAATCCCAGGATGGGGACCCCTGCATTTGAATTAACATCACAGAGAAGACTCAGACGCTTCCCTCCCAAGCAGTAATGATGACCATACTCAGCCCTGAAAGGTGGAAATGGAGAAGCTGACTATCTTCTGTGTGTTTCTGAACACAGAGAGCTCCCTAGTCAGCTTCTCTGAAATCCCTCTACAATGTAGACACAAGGATTGGCCCAATTAGGCCTTGTTTAGTTACTAAGGCCACCAGGAAAATGTGTTAAATATGGCTGGAATGTTAGTGCCACACTGTCCAGGTAAGTGAGAAAGGACTGGTAGCAGGAGAGGAAGCTGGAAAGATAAACTGGACCAGATTATGAAGTTCTCTGAGTGCCATAACAGAATAATACTTTCTTCTGTAGCAAAATGGGACAAATGAAACTTTTAAGCAAGAAAAATTAGCATCTCTGGGTATTACTGTCTGTATCTGTAAAGCTGAAATGAATGGACATTATTTCCAAAGCTCTGTCCTGCACATAAATGAACCCTCATATTCTACCTCTGTCCCTTATAAGACTCTAATTCTGTGTCCAATTTATTCTTCAGAATTTTTTGCCTCCTAAAATAATTTTCCCACTCACCTGTCTTCAGTCAGTACTATCAATCAAAATGCAAAAGAAAATGTTTTCTAATGTCTGGTAAACAATAAATGCAGATCAATTCAAGCAACGTATTAATATTTTATGGTCATTGACTTGAGTCTTGCTGATTTTCTAAATTTAAACCCTCTGAGTCCCTTTTGCAGGATTGGTACAGACTCTAAAATCTCATTGTTTGCATGTGACATGCAAAGGAAAAGCAACGTGAGTTGGAACCAAGAAATCCGAGATGACGTACCAGTAGGTTCTCTGGCTTGATGTCTCTGTGCACGATGCTGAGGCCGTGGAGATACCTGAGGGCACTGGCCAGATTGAACACCATGGCGCTGCCGTCTCTCTCAGTGTACTTGGTTGAAGAGGTAATTGCATCAAAGAGGTCTCCACCCTAAAGGACACGTCAAAGAACGTATTAAAAATGTCAGCAGTGGCAATTCCAGGAAGGTAACAAAGAAGGCTCATCGACCTGGAATAGATGAAAAAATGCTCCTAAACAAAAATGCTACAAAAATTGATGATTATAAATAATGAATGTTTCAAGGTAGTGAAACTTTTCCTGTGAGCTCCTTCAAGAATATGGAAAGTCTCAGGATTTGGCACCCATGACATCTCTCCGTCCTCTTACTTTGACCAATTCCATCACCAGAAAGAGCTCAGCAGCTGTCTCCATCTCCTCGACCAGCATGATGATGTTTGGATGTTTCACTCGGCGCAGTATTGACACTTCGTTCTCGATCAGATGTTCCTGTCAAATGAAGAGTTTAGAGAGGTGGATCAGGAACCACAGAACCCTCTGCTCTGCCCTGCATTTTGGAGGACAACAGTGTAGATCTGATGCCGGAAGAAGCAACTCCCTTGGCAGAGATGGACAAACCCCAGTCTCGTTGGTGGCCACAGGGACAGGACAAGTCAGCGGGACATCTCACTGTCACTACCAGAAAGAAACAGACGTCCTTCAGAACATCCCTGGAGTGGTGTCGCCCTCGCACGTGTCCCCTCACCAACTTCCAACACCATAAGAGGCTTCGGCATGCAGCTCTGCGCCCTGTAATTCGGCTGGAACCACTTTTTCATTTCGGTATATACTTGGGAATAAAAGCGAGGTGTATAAGGGAATTCTGCATGCTTATGACATACAACTCAGGCAGTAAAAGATACTTCTTTGTTTTTAAACTGTTACTAATACAAATTTGAATTTCATGTTGAAATTCATGAAAAAGAAACTTTCTTTCTCTATGACTGGTGTGATATCATTCATCAGAAGGATGTTCCTTATCACACTGAACTCCAGATATCAGAAAACAGACAGTACCGTGGGGACCACTATTCTCATTTTAACTCCACTCACTTGCCAACTGAAAATACCACCTGATCATCCGTTCTGGTGAGTGAGGCAGCGGGCATCAGCACTGTAGCTACATGTCCACTCCCAGAATTAAGGAGTTACTCTCAATGTGCCAACCATGAATCACAAATGACTACTGCTCTATTTTGAGACAGGAAAATCTCTCAATAATGTCACATCTGTTGATCCTCATTAACTCTAATGATGAATTATTTTGAATTTACAGTATGCTCTGTAAAATTAATTATATCCTGGCACATTCTAGGTATTCAAATATAGCTTTTATATAAAAACCTTATAAGAGATATTACTACCTACACATATATGTGTATCTCTGTGTATGTCCCTCCTACTGTCCCTTTTGCCTTTGCTACCATGAATCTCAGTACTAGAATTAATGTTCCAGTGCAACAGTAAGATAATCATCTTATCTCCAGTTCAAGACACCATTTACGGTTCCTCTCTTATGTTCATGCATCCACATGTATGTGTATTTTTACTCTAAGCCATCCCAAATACTTTTTGTCAATAGATGAAGTATGAATCGCAACAAATGAATAAATAACATCCAGAGAAAATCTGTTGCTAGCTCCTGCACATGGTGGGCCATGTTTCTTGAGCGCTGAATGCAAAGTGCTTGTCTAAGTTGTCACTCAATAAATGTTGGCAAATGACACTGCAAATGCTAAACAGAAGTCAGGGAAAGGAAAGAACCAACATTTACTAGGAATCTAGTCACTATTTGTCAGTCACCATGCAAGATACTTGTGGAATGTCTTAAAACATTATCGTAAGAATGGTCCTTTGAGGGGTAATGCAAACCTCGGTCTCTGACATCTGAGCCCACAATTTTTTTGTGCTACACAACATCACCTTTCAAAGGGGAATGCTTCAGTAAACGTCACGTTGGATTCTCCAAAGTGAAAATGATACCTGCAAAGCTGAATTTATTTAATTCCTGGAAAAGGTAGGAACTGGAGGTAGTAACACACTGAGTTGGGCGTCCAGGCAGAATCACAGCAGGCTTTGCACAGGGGGGAGAATCTATGTCACTTAATGAGCAAGGTTGGGAAGTCTTTGCCCAGCTTGGGACTCAACAAACATTTCTAAACCTGGAAGAATGGCAGCTCTCAGACCCTAGCAAGCCATGACTGGGAGGCTAGGGACAGGGCTATCTCCCTGTTTCCGGTCCCACATGTCTAAGTTACAGAGCAGTGACGCAAAATGGCAGACAGACTCTGGTCCTTCCCAAGGGGAGCAGCTGCACAGGCCGCTCCCTGTGGTCACAGAGACAACAATGTAGCAGACCCCCCACACTGGGATGCTCATCTGGAAGCCTTTGGGTCATCCTTCCCAAGCATGTCCTTAATCACACCGACAAGCAGAGTTAGGTGTACTTCTGTGAACACATCAAGGTGAGCAAATAAATTTATTTCACTGTGAAACCAAGATGAAGGTAGTTATGGCCACTGTGGCAACACAGGCATTTTATTTATGGCTAAATCAGTCAATCGCTCTAGTTCTCCTCCCAAGGGGGAACAGTATATAAAATCACCTCCATTCGGGAGCTGTGCTTGTGATGCTACCTTGGAATGATGTATGTAAAATAATCCCCATCAGTAGTACCCCCAAGAATGCTTTCAAAAAAGAATTAAAATGCCTACCACCTAAGGCGACTACACCTCCCAAAAGTTATCTTTTTCAATAAAGAAAATCCTCTGGGATATACGGTGGGACTTCCTCCAGGACCACCAGTAGTGCTGCATTGCAAATACTGAGCATCACAACGACATTTTCCCCACGGGTACTTATTACCTCAGCCTGCTGTACTCTGCTTGACAGTGGCTACTATTCTAAGCACGGTAAATGGTTTGCAGGGCGATGGTGGTGTTAGCATTTTTTCCCAACCTCCGACTATGCCTGTAAAATTGTCTATGAAGGAACAATCACTTTTTACACTACTCATTGTCAGGAAAAAACAGAAGTAGTACATAAAAATCTTTACAAAGGCTATCTTCCCATTCCTATGCAATTCATACATAAAATAAACTTTGTTTCTAATATGTAAAAATACTCTCTAGACTACGTTTTCCAGGAAAACATTTCTAAATACAGTATGAACATCGCTTTTGTTTTGAAGTGCACTGAACTTACTATTCAATCATCTACCATCATTTCTGTTAAGTGGTTCAGGATTCTAACTCCAAATAATTTACATATGAATCACTTCATGGCAGTGTTCCACAGTTTTGTATGACAGTAAATGACAAAGAAAACTGCTAACTTGGCAAAGGATACTGCCTTATCTTTGACCATGGTGCTTTCGATGGATGAGAGAGAGAGAGAGAGAGAGATATGGATTCGCGACTAAACAACTCTCCCAGACCCGCTGAACATCCTGTCCCCGCCTTTCCCATAGTCCTTCCCTCCTCTGTCCTCCCCGCTAAACCCTGCTGCCCGAAGCAGAGCGGAGTTCTGCACACAATCCCTCCCTCACCCTCTAGCACAGCCAGCCAGCCACTAATCCCTGCCAGGCCTACCTTCTCAATAGGCTCAGAATCCATCCGTTCACATCTAGTCCTATTGCCAGTCTCACCTAGGCCTCTAGGCATTTGCACAGGCAGTTGTCTCTGTCTAGACCTTATTTCCTCACCTCTTGGTAAGCTCCTCTTTATTCCTCAGGACTAAACTAGAACTCACCTCCTCTAATTAGCCTGCTCTGCTGAACCATGGCTGGTTCCCCTTATTTGCTTTCATTGCCCCCTGTGCTTGTTCCAAACACTGCTCTCATGCTGCTGTTGTGGAGGTTTCTGTTTACCAGGCTCTCTAGCAACTAGCACAGTTCACTCCCAAGTGCTTGAGTGAATAAATATATCATGCATTTCTCTAGGCCAACAGCAGCTATACAGCTGTTCTCTGTATTGCTAAGTGAGTATTGCTGAGGGTGGTACAGTAAGAAGGAGAAAAATGTTCAAATCATTGTATGTGATTTCTGTGGCAAATGTATATAGTAGATTGAATAATGGTCACCTAAAGATATTAACTCCTAATCCTTGGAATTTGTAAATATTACCCTATTTAGAAAAAAGATCTTTGCAGATGTATTTAAGGGTTCTCCAACTAAGAGATAACTCTAGATTATCTGGGGGCCTTCACAATTTTCCTTATGAGATAAAGGCAGAGGGAGATTTGAGACAGAAAGGAAAAATAAACACACAGAAGAGAAAATACTATAAAGATGGAGGCAGAGACTGGAGTGATGTGGCCACAAGCCAAGGAAACCATCAACCACCACAAACTATTGAGAGTCAAGAAACAGATTCTCCCCTGAGCCTCCAGAGGGAGTGTGGATTAAGACTTCCAGCTTCCAGAACTCTGAGAGGATAAATTTCTGTTACTGTAAGCCACCAAGCTTGTGGCAATTTATTCCAACAGCCTCAGGAAACTTACACAATATACATTTGGATTTATGTCCTGCCTGTGCCCATGACACATAGATAATGAATGCAAACCCATGGGAAGAGAAGGAAGGACTATTTCTAAGCACCATAACAGAAAGTTCAGAGCTTTGTACATTGGGAATTTAATAAATATTTATTTATAATGAATATTATTTAGAATTTTAGACACAGAAGAATTCTTAAATTTACAAACACCAAGACTTCTCAACAGCCTCCATGAATCTGGCCCCTAGGCAGATCTTGCAATGATTTGCTTAGAAGAACCCAACATGCTTCCATCCTCTGGGCCTTTGCTCAGGCCAGGTGGGCCCCCTGGAAGGGTTTTCCTTCACTGCTGTCTATGTTCATGGTTCAGCTCAAATGCTTCCTGCTCTATGATGTGTTCACTGATCACCTACTTCCCTCTCCCCAAGTTCCATAACACTCTTGGCAGAACTGCTATTATTTACATGTTAAATGATCCTATTCCTAGTACAGTATATTGCACACATGTCAAATTTTAGGTAAATGAGTAAATTAATCTAACAATGCTTATGTATCTTACAGAAAAGCAAAGAGAAGGCCAGAAAGGTTAAGAATATTTTTTCCAGGTTCTTATTACATAGACTAATTAATAAATTAAACTCGGAAAGGGAGCATGGTAGAATGGCCCATGTACAGGCTCCGTGACCAACTAGCCCAAAATTCCAATCACTCTCTACATCCATGTGACTTCTGGGAAGACACTTAATGGAAATTTATGTTTCTTTATCTGTAAAACTGGTACATTTGTTTTGCAAGTCATTAAAGGCAATGTACAAAGTTCCTATATGTCCTAGTCTGGATAGATAATACATTTTAATAAATGCAGATATTACTTTCAGCATTATTAATTCTGTGTACAACCCACAAAGCAGAGATGACCAACAACACCCCAGAACAGTGACTGAATGCCTCTCCCCGAATTTTGTTTAAAAAAAAAAATTACCTATGGCACTTTAATTCTAAAAATAAAATTTGTTTAGCACAAATCAACTTATTTAGTGATATTATATAATATATTATATATTATATATTATATCATAATATTATATACTCAATGTAGGAATAGCTCAAATAAGTGAAATGTAAGGATGGAAATAAGTATATGATTATGAATTATAAAAAAGGAATGATATTCAATAACATGGAAAAACAAGATCCAAATGAAGTGACCTACTCATTTGCCTCAGCACTTAGTGCACCAGACTGAAGTTTTTTTTGCATGTAAAGATCTTTTTATCAACTACTGAAACAGCTGCTTAGATTTTAATCAGGTAAACAATACCCTACCACAGCAATTTTATTTTTACTCTTTAGAAGAAATACTTTAATACCATTAACTGAGAACTTGCCTCCCCAAATTATAACACATTCTCCTTAAATCATGCAACAGCAGACAGAGCAACACTTACCTAGGAGGAAAAGACTTTGCAATTGAAAATTTTAATAATATTGTTAGAACAAAGAGTAAAAGCACATAGAAATATTTTTTATAAATTGAATTCAGAAAAAAACTACTTATTTGAAGGAACGGGGCATTTTGCACAGTCCCTGCTTCATTAGCTGTCACAGTGTGTTTAAAAAAGTATACGACATACTTGCTTCATAGATTTTTCCATTCTGGGGCTCTGTGAAGATTTTTCTAAAACTTTCCCATAATAATAATAGTATTTCATATTTTCTGTTAAAAATGCACATTTTGTAGATGTCCAATGAAGACTAGTTTAGGAGTTCCATAAATGCAGAATTGCTACTATCACATCAAATCCTAACTATAAATTCTGAATTCCTCTAGCATAGTAATGTTAACAGATAACATGTGTTAAATTCTTATTATATACTAGTACTTTCATATATGCTTTCCATGCCTTAATTCAACTAATCCTCACAACAGTCTTATGTGTTAGATATTATTAAAAATTACATTTTAGAGGGAGAAAAAGAGGCACAGAGGGGTTAAGAAACTTTTCCAAGGTCACAGTCATTTAAAGACATAAACTAAAGACACAAAAAAAAGGCAGAGCCAGGCTTAGACTTCATATAATCTGGCATAAAAGCAGCATTGTTCAATAGAAATATAATGCAATCCACACATGTAAATGTACATTTTCTAACAGTCACATTTTTAAAAAATGCAAAAAGTAAAATTAGTAATATAACTTATTTAACTAAATACATATAAAATATTATCATTTCAACAATCAAATATAAAAGATACTAATTAGGTATCTAAAATTCTTTTTTTAGTACTAACTCTTCAAAATCTGTTGTGACCTTTATACTTACAGTCCATTTCAATTCAGACTAGCCACATTTCAAGTGCTCAGGGGCCACATGTGGCTGGAAGCTCCAGGTTTGGGCAGTGAGTTCTAGAGCCCACTCTCTTAAATTGTGAGGCTACAAGAAAGATATCTAAAAAGGTCTTTGTCATCACTGTTACAAAATATTTATCTTTTCAAACATAGCTAAGATAAGGGTACTTAGCAGCTTTTCATTGTTTAATCTTTCGCAGCTCAACTTGAGAGTAGGACAGAGAAAAAATTCATCCAGTTGGGGAGATAACTGTTAATAGCATTTGGGCATCTCTTGTGTCACCTTCTGTTATCCCTTCCAAGGGTATCTGTAGAGCAAAGACCCTTGGAACATACAGACAGGGTCTCCCTCAGGAGCACAGGGCAGATTTGTTTCCTGATCAAGATAAATGAAAATACTGTTCTCTGGGGCAAAGGTTAGGCAGGTTTGCTAGCAGCCCCCTCTTAAGATACAGGGTTTATTAAGCCTTGGGATTCTTGACTGTGACGCAGACCTACTGTGTGCACAGCAACCAGTGGTGGCCCTCCACACCACTTCTGCGGTACCTGGTTGTTAAGGGGACCCAATGCAAACATGGAGCTCATGCTGTCTGCAGTGCCCCAAGCAATAAAGGTTTTTTGTCTCTGACCCAGGAATCCTGCTCCTTCTGTCAGCATTCATAAAGCTGGAAGGCTAATTTGATAGTTGAAAAGAAAGGTAAAGTCTCAGCGTCCTCATAGTTCTTGGCACATCTTTTGAGTGTTGCTGGGTTCTGAAACAGGTATATGCCGGCGTAGAGAACTTATAGCTTCTACAGCTAGGACCAAGATCAACTCAATTCATCATTTTAGGATTAAAGTTTTTTTTAAAATGGCAGGGGAAAAAACCTTAATAGTGTTTCTGCATTGTTATCAGTGGTCTATCCTTTATGGTCTTATTAAATCCCCACTTAAATTCCTTCACTTCTATAAATATATCACCAAGTTCTTTTAGTTCCTTTTACAAAGAAATGATGTATACTGTACCTTTCCGCAACATTTTGCTTTGTCTATAATCTTCAGGGCAAATTCTTTTCCAGTGGACCTATGGAATAATCAGGCCATTTAAAGATATAAACTAAAGACACCATCATTTCTGATTTCCTCTACAACACAAACTCAGGGAAGAAAGACTGGCTTAATCCTCTGTACATCAGAAACTAATGTAGAGTCAGGGAAAAAGGCACCCAAAAAAGAAAAATATCCAAAGCCATACTCTTGATCTCCTTTATATATATTAATAATTACATTATTAAATAACTTGTATACTAAAAGTACTTAAACTTTGCTGTATCAGAGCTGGATAAGAAACTGTTTTTCCCATACTTAAATCACAAACTAGTCCTCTTAGAAGACTTAGGAGATAGAAGACAACTAAGAAAAATGCATCAAAGTAATGAAAATTTTCTATTACCAATTTTACTTTACATTAATCCATTACTAATTAGTCCATAATTCAAAGCTGAAAAAACCCTAGACTTTCACTATTTCTCAGCCAAAACTCCATCTAAGGCCATCTTATCCACACCTTGAAATGCTTATATCTGGTATTAAAGAGATCATTTACTTGGACAAAAGAATCTTGATGTTGTTACTTAACTTTGAGTCACCTTTAACAATAATAATTTAATCTCAACATGCCAAAAATATCTTTTAGTGTAGAAAAATAGGTCAACAAAGAACACCAAAGTATTCTTGGAATGTATTAGTTCTCTCAAGTGCAATGGCTTTTGCCACGTGGTCACAGTACACACTGATTGGGCCTGCCTTGGAAGAATAACTTTTATTTAAATTGCTTCCCCATAGGATAAACTGATCCCTGCCTCAGATTCCTGAAGAATCATTAAAAGTCATCTTTTAGATGCTGAATTTGTTAACTTGGGCAGCAATCTATGTACCAGAGCTAAGTAGAAAGGTTTAGAGGACAGACAGTTTACCTTGTGCACCATTTTTAAGTGGCACTAAAGCTTCAGTAGAGATGTAACACAATGAAAAAACTGTCGTTACCAGAACTCTCTGGAAAATTCCTCACAAACAACAACAATTACCACTCAGAACAGGTAGGCAGTGATCTGTCAATACAAAGACTCTAATCTGAGTCTTCTCCAGATTTTATGCTGTTTACAAAAGGCCTGAAATTTAAAAGCATGGATTTCTTACTACTTGAGAATTTGGGACCTTAAAAGATATAATGCTCAATAAGCAAACATGATTGTAATATAGGCCAAAGTTGGCTGATTCAAATAGAGTTCAAGTATCCCAAACTACAAGTATATGCAACAAAATATTAAGTAAGAGGGTTACTGTGGCAATGAAATGAGTTAATACAAGTACAGCCTTGAGAACAGTGCCTGGCATAGGAGATTTTTTTTTTTTTTTAATGAATGTTATTCTTTCCCATTCCTCTCTGGCTCCTGAATGAGACCTGATATATCTCTCAGCCCAAATGCATACAAAGCAGGTTTATCTCTATGGATATACAATTTTCCCTGTCAAATTGCTTGTGGGATGCCAACAGCTCATCTCAAGGGTAGATTCTTTCAAGAAGTAGGAAAAGAGACTTCCCAGGAAGGCCTTTGGTTCATTTGGGTAACAATAAACCCCAAGGTAGAAATGTCTACGTAGGTGAACAAATGATTATCCTCACTGTCCACTCACCTGTCCATACACTCTTTGACTACTGCAAAATTGCCATCACCAATAACCTTCCCAATTCTGTATTTCTCAAGAAGAGTTGATGATTCAGAGCACCTGTTCCCATTTACACCTGCAAAAAAAGGTAAATGCAAAGTCTATTGAACACGTCAGCATTTCATCCTGATTCCTACATATCTGCAAAATAATACACTGCAATGCATTTATCTCTAAATCTATGGTGAAACTAAACAAATCTCTAGACATATTTTCTGAATAGAACACCTGACTCTAACCTTGTTGGTTGGAATCAGAAACCAACATAATCAATAAACCTACAAATCCCCAAATATCAGTTGAAATAAGTAAAAGGAAGTCTAAAATTTTGTAAACTTCTTTCGTTGTCAACTCTCAAGAAAGGAGAAGGATGATGGTGGGAATTTAACCTTAAAATTTTTCTCGGGATTTCTCTTTGCAATTTTCTAGTAAAGAAAATTCTACCTAGCTATGATGCCTTGTTTAAACGAATGCCTGGCTCAAAGGCTTAGCAAAAAGAGGAGTTGAGAAGAGAAGGAGGGAGTGGTTAATACTGACTACTTTTTGCAGTGCATCTCCAGTGCCCAGCACATAGCAGACATCAAATAAAGAAACACACTTTAGTAATCTAATTGAGATAAAAGAAAGTCTATATTTAGGAGCTATGAGCAGATTACCATTAAGGAAAAATAAAAGAAGCCCAAGTCCAAGACTTGAAATTGGGATAGCTTAATTAACAAGGAGATTTTCTATATACTGAAGTGATTCCAGCCCGCTCTGGCTAAATGGGCTAATTGGTGACATGATCACATCCTTGTTTAGGCAGAGCAAAAATTAGTGCAAGTGGGTTTTTGGCGGCCACCAAGTTCACACGGATGACTTCTTTAATAAAAGTAATCATCGGACTGAGGACTACCTTCAGGACTCATGCAACGATCAAGTTCAGGTCCACCATTTACATTGGAAGAAGATCTGCCATGTGCAGAAATCTGCTGAAAAAGGAGAGTGGCCATTATTTATCAGGATAAATGTACAAATCTTTAGCTAGGTAATCCTGAGAGAATAGAAAATGAGAGGAAGCATGCCCTTTCTCTTCCTCTTACCTTTCTCCCTATATGTATCACATTAATGCATTTCTTCTTTAGATAAATATTTTCTATTCAGATTATGTAACAGGAAGTTGACAGTGTGTCACCCCCTTTGATGTGCATTACTTTTGACCTCAATGAAATAAGGGAGACTTTTATGGCATCGCACTGAACAAGGTATTTCTTAGTGGCAAAATAAGGCCTAGAACTATAGATAATTCCAAGAAAAATCAGTACTCAATCCCAAGTCCCACAGCGGACCTCAGAGAGCCCCTGCTACAGTGGAGCCCGTTTCAGGACTCCAGCTTCCTGCCCAGGACTGCCTCACCTTCGTGTCTTCCCCATGGATTCAGATCCAGATGCAGCCCGGGCTCAGCCCTCTTCTTTACTGACTTTAAGACATCAGGAATTCCTCTTAAGTATTATAAATATTTTTATTACTAAGAACCAGATGGAAATAAGTTAAAACTAAAAGGTAAGTTCCAATTCGACAAAGTGGAACTTCCCAGTCTAACAAAGAGATACCTTTAGTTCTTAGGTCAACAAAAAAAATCCCATATTATGGATATTATTCATATTAACTTTATTATTCTAGTTCTATTTTATTATTAAGTTCTCTCAAACACAGGCTTTCAAACTCCTTTTTCTTTATTTTTCTCTTTGATCTTAAATTTTCATTCATTTTTTTTTTTTTAATTATTCCTTACCAGAACTTACAAGGTCAAAGGACTTGCCAAATACTGAGAAGCATCTTCAAACTTTACGTTCTGGTGCATTGCCTTCTGTGCCCACACCCTCCTGGTAACTTATGCCCATAATGGCTGCCCTGCATTCAGCACAGTACCTGGTACACCCACTACTCAGTTCATACTTGCTAAGTGAGCATAACTGACACAGGTGCAGGGCAGGGAAGCGCCCTTCCCAGACACTGGGTCCACTCTGCTCCTCGTGGTGAACAGGAGAACCTCACACGTGCCGAGTTTGGTTCAAAACCCAGGAGAGTCCCATTACTTATAAACATGCCTTCAGATGGATATCCAGAAGTTCTTCTGGATTAAAAATATGAGCCTCGAGAATGACAGGCATGTAAACACTGGGCAGCTTTCTCAGGTCCCAAGTAATTGCACCTTGTGTGGACATTAAAACTCGCTGCACCAGGTCCCACTAGGACACTCACGGCCACGAAGAGCCGTGCTGAGGGGCAGCCGGGCAGCTCCTGCCCCACGCGGCACACACACTGCTCATGCGGGTTTGTCTGCCTCCCTCTGCCGTGGCGGGTGGCTGGGTAGGAATGTGGCTGTGTGCACGGGTCCCATTCTGGCCTCAACCTGAGGGAAGTGTCGCAGTTTAGCTGACGGACCCTTCAGAGTTCAGTCATTTTGTTTCCTCATAATACAAGGTGATCGCTGGACAAAGGTTTTCAGACTTTAGCTTGTTTTGTTTTGTTATGTTTTATCTGCTTGCCCCTGAAATTGAAGGCAACTCCCAATCAGCAGGATTCTATGCTAGATGGCTTAAAAGCTAGACTGTTTAAAGCCAAGGCCCAGCTGGACTCTAAGGGAAGGGAAGAGAAAACTACACCATTGTCCGCCCTGTTCCGTCCCAAGAGCCACCACCTCGCCTTGGCCCTCCTTGAGCCTCTTGGCCCCCCATCAAGGGCCTCTTAGTCACTTCAGGTTCATCCATTCAGTATCTCCCATAGAATCCAAAAACCTTAGTAGATGTTCATTACCAAAAGAATAATCCAAAATCTTCAGATGGCATTCAGGCCATGATTTGTTCCCCCACTGACCTGTCCAATTTGTTCCCCAGTCACTTTTTTTCATGCATTTTATACTTACATTAACTTAATCATTTTTTTTAAGTTGCTTAGACTTTCCAAGTCTTATTTTCTGCTCTGTGTATAGGAGTAGGAGCAGCAGCAAGTCAATGATTTAATTTAGATCATTAAAATTAGCTCATATGTGTAAAATCCTTTAGCACCAACACTGATAGGAAACACACACTCACATTAGTTGTTAGCATCTTTCCGTCCTTAAAACATCCAGCATAGAGCCTTGAAATGAGTGACTGAGAAATGGTTTTGAATTATTCAATGAACAATGGCTATAAAAGATCTTTTGCTTAATAATTCATTCCAAGTCTATTACTCTTCTAATCTAACCCTTCCTAGAATGAAAATTGTCAGTCAAGGGAATAAGAGATCCAATTTAAATTAAATCAGCCAAATTCTTAATGGAATAAAGGTAAGAAGAATGTCAACCTTTGGGAAGTCATATCTCAAAGATAAATGGAAAGATCCCTTTGGATCACTGCTGGTCCCGGGATCACAGTGGTGGGGGAGGTGGACTGTCCACGTCTGGGAAAAACTGGACTGGAACCGGCCTGCCTGCATGTCCAAATCTGACAGCCCAAAATGGGGCAGTCCCACGTCCTTAGGCCTGGGTGCTGGGCAAACCATATCCCTTCCCAAAACTTAGAGCCTAGGGTACTCTGTAGAATGTAGCCCCACACTCACCACTGAGGCCCTGAGACCTGCCCTTTGCCCCTGCACCCCCACAGCCCCCCACCCACCCCTGATTGCTTAGCTCTCCCTGAAGTAGGTAACATTCTTCTCACAGGTCCCTTTCTTAAGCTGATTTGAGGTGAGTGCTATTTACTTACAAGCTGAAGTGTTCTGTCTGACTCAAGAGCTCTCTAAGAAGGAAGTCTTGAAAAGGCCTAAAATGCAGGCAATTTTTACCCCCTGCACATTTTCACATGGATGGATGACTTCTTGGAGTGTTTATTAATTGATTTCTTATGAACCCCTATAACTTGCCAAATGTTTATTTTGATTAAACCCTCACTTCCACCAATCCTGATTCCCTGTACAGTATAGCAATTACAAACTTGGTTTGTGTTGGGATTCAAAAGGGGCAAGAAGCAGGGAAAAAAACTGGAGACAGAGCAGACGGTGGAAGCTGGGAGAGCTGGGCAACTGTACTGAAGCCTGCACACCTCAGAGGAGGGGGGCACCTCGTGCAGGGGCACCTCGTGGAGCGGAAGGGGCAGAAGGCCAAGTGAAAGGCTTCTTTTGTGGGCACCTGAGAAAGGTTTCACTAAATCACCAGGCAATGCAGTTTTCTTTGCAAATTATGGCAAGAACATTTTTCAAAGCTCTCAAATCAAATGACTTTTTTGAAGTGTTAAATCTCAACCATTTACAAAAGAAAAAAAATCTATAGAGAGTTAGTAGGTGTGCCTTATATTTAATTACCTATCCAAATATGTTCCTTTATTTGAAAATAAAGCTTTCATGAAGAAAATGGAAACATGAAAAAATAAAGGGAATCCTTTTGTTATAGCACAGCTGAACAGCCAGGGACACGAGAACACACAGGAGCAATTTTCCTTTCCTCTGTCAGCAACAACCTTGGCTGGGTTTTTAGAGGATATAAAGACGGAGGGACATGGTCATTATCACCCAGAAGTTACAATCTTATGCAGACAACATAAGTGTACCCTTAAAACATTTCTGAGAAACATCTACATCCCGGGATATGGTTTCTAAGGTTGTGACATTTACACACGGCTCTGAAGATCCTTGAGAGGCAGCCACGTTGCCAAGGCATGAATCTGCACTCGAAACGCTTGAACCACATAGCCAGTGATTAAGTTCACTTGACCTCCCATTAATGAAGCCCAGTGCTCCAAGGATACAAGAAAAGCTGGGTATTCACCAAGATCTGGGGACAGATCCCTGGCAAATGTTAAGCATCTATTGTGAAATATAAAGCAATCATCCCCAGTGTCCTGAGAGACATGCAGACAAAGAGCAATGAATTCACATGGGACAAAATTATGACTATAAAATTCTCACCATTTCCCAGACACAATTTATATATTTCCTTGTGCAATGTAAGAGAATTCGTCTCTTATTAAAACAAGGATTGAAATAGCACCAGGAGATTCCCATATGGCATTTCTGATTAAATCTGTCCCATATCTATTGTCAAACTAACAGTTTTTATTAAAATCTCTTAAAATGCTAATGAGCATTCATGCTCCCATCATCAGCTATGATGCTGAGACGGCATAAAGAAAGTGCCGAGATGCTGCAAGTTAGCGAGATCTTCCTCGATAAAGCATAAATAAATGGCAGCAGCATCTGCACTATTTCAAGATTTCTCCCATAATTACTAACTGGTTCACAAAGATGTGATTATGTTTAGTGGGGGCAGGAGAGGGGGACACGTGTCCTGACCGGTCAAGGAGGGAAGGTGATGGAAAAGACCAGGGATGGAGATACTGCTGAGCACGCTGTGACCTGGCACCACAGTCACACCTACCTACTTGTCTGGCAGCAGCTGCTCCACTTCTATGAGTAAACAAGAAAAGGAAATGTACAAGAATCTGCTTCTGCTCAGAGCTTAGAAAAAAAAAAGACTTGAAAACAGAGCAGAAAGAGCGATAGGGTGTTCTCAACTGCTGGCATCATCTAAAAAGGCATTCATGGCAGATAATGAGTAACAGTCCAGCTTTATGCATTTTAAGCCAGGAAGTCAAGTCAGAGTGTCCTACATTAAATTTCCCTAATAAGTGGATTACTACAGCTTCTAAAAAACTTACAATCTAAAGAGAAATGTTAAATACTACTCTAAAAATGAGAGGTATGGTTCAAAAATAGGCAATTATCAATAAACATAGCAGAAATGGTTATATTAATGCATTAGATAACACATTACTATTGGATTTTAAGTATAATGCTAGATACTTCACTTTGATTTTTCATAAAAAAGAATCACTTGAACAGAATCTAGGAGATATTCTTGTGTAGTGAGTTGACTTGCCTAATGCATCTTGGAAAACGGCACCATGATTCAACTTTTAAGTGGCCTACTGTGGGAATCAAAATTATTTTC